AGTTACAAAAATTAAAATGAAATAAAATAAACGGTTTTCAAAAGAGATGGAGTCAAACGTTTCACTCACTGTAAAAAGCCCTCATCTAATTGAATGCATCTGTGCTCCACCTTAGAATCTGTCATCTAGACAGGAGCGTGGGCAAGACATGAAATCTACCCTATTTTTAAAAGATCTCCAGGGAAGAAGACTTTCTTAGAAATGTGTGTTCAAGTTTAATCATATTGGGTATTATGAATTTTTTTCCTTTTTGGTCTTTGAAGATAAAAAATAATAAGGTCTAGTTCTAGCTGGCTTGGCTCTGTGGACAGAGCATTGGCTCAAGGAGTGAAAAGTCCCGGCTCAATCCCTGGCAGGAGGCAACCAACTGATGTTTCTCTCTGTCTCTACCCCTCCCTCTCCTCTCTCTGAAAAACAAAAACAACCAATGGGAAAAATATTCTTAGGTGAGGATTAACACAAATTAAAAAAAAATAAAAAAAAATATATATAGTCTGCTTCCTAAATTATACATGAAGAGTTGTCAAGCCATTCCTTATTGTTTAAACCTTTAGGCAGAATAACCTAGTTCCCCCATGGGCTTGACTTGATGTGTACCAGAAGGCAGATGTCACCGTTGGCCAGGGTTGCCAGGTGTGGGAGCGGGTGATGTGGCAGCTCTGGATGTGAAGCCATGAAACCCTGTCTTCAGACCAACAGCCAGGCTGACTGTGGCAACTGCTGGCACTGCCTGTGCCAAGCCTCCAGCAATTTTCAATGGGAGTTACTGCTCCTTTCACAGATTCTCCAGGTGCCCCTCCTCTGCCCACGTCTATGGGACAATATGCCTTCAGGCATGGCGTACACCTACTATAGACGTGAACCCTATCATATTGAGTAGGTTGGGCTTCCAGGTCCAAATAAAGCCAAAATACAAAACTGCATTTAGTCAAAATTATTCTGTAAAAACCCCTTGTCCTCAGTCAACTGTTTTGTAAGCAGTGCTTTTGGCTAAACTCGGTACCCCAAGATAAAAAAAAACTAGGTTATCTCACACCAAGTAGACTCTTGTTGGCAGTGAGGTGGTCAAAGATTAAAATTCAATCATAAGCTTTTAATTTTTACATCTGTTTTAGTATGGTAGACTTTTCTTTTCATTTATAATATGCCTGAGGCATGAAATGGTTGGAAACCAACGACTATCACCGAACAACAGGAAGACCCAGAAGGGATTATGGTCTTTTATTTATGCTGATGAGGATGATTATTATTTTTGAATCCTCACCTGAGGATATTTCCCCACTAATTTTTAGAGAGAGGAAGAGAGAGGGAAAGACAGAGAGAAATATCGATGTGAGAGAAACACATTGATTGGTTGCCTTCTGCACGCACCCTGACCAGGGCCCAGGCTGGGGAAGAATGTGCAACTAAGGTACATGCCCTTGACCCAAATTGAAACCGGGACCCTTCAGTCCACAGGTCGATGCTCTATCCACTGAGCCAAACTGGCTAGGGTGGGAATATGGTCTTTTAACTAAAGCTGTATTTAACCCATCCCAGTGTGTCATCTCATATATGTTAACTGATCAAAAAAAGTTTGGTGAATGACTGAATGGACGACTTTACCAATGGTGAGAAGGTTTGCTGACCTAATTAGAGCAGAGGGGAACCAACGAGGTAGCTCATCCTAGAAGACAACTCTGACTCCATGGTCCAAACCTTCACTAATCAACACTCGCCAGGTATGCACTGAGGACCTGCTGTGGCCTTTTGGACACACGCTTTTGCAGATGCTACCACGTTGCTCAGAGTACGATGGAGTGGCCTTGCCTGATTCCCTGCCACATGTAGACTTTTGAGAACAGAAGACTTATCTTATTCATGGCACTGACCTCAGTCCCCAGCACAGGGAATGGCACATGCAAGGGCTCAACCCCGCCTGAATGGATGAAGGTCACAGCATCTGACATCTCGTCCTGGAAGAGCACTGAGGGAAACTCCTCCTGCATGTCCCATGCTCTCCTCTTTCTGGGTCACTCCCCAAAGATCAGACAACCCCTGGGACTAGAGTAATTTCCAGGATGTTGCCCTGAACTCGCCTCTTAGAACCTTCCTTGACACCTATATTTTTTGCCCTAGAAAAGAATATCTCTAGGTGTGTGACTATCCTCCCCAACATGTGCAAATTTCTTAGCCAACTCTGTCATGAAATATTTCATAGCTTTTATTTGCAAGAAATATCATTTCCCTCCATAATTGAATCTCATAGCTGGATACCTCTTTGGGAATTCCCTACCAAGAAGCTACATCCCAAGGGTCTATGACAAGAGGGCCCCAGTGATGGAGTTAGTTGCACATATAGGAGTTGGGTGACTTTTCTGTTGACAGATGGCACAGCGGTCTCCTGCCCACCAGCCATAAGACTCAGCCTCCCTGAGCCAATGCCCAGCCACCCACCATACCATGTGACTACCCCAAGCATAAAGCCCTGGGTGGCTGCGTATGGCAGCTTTTTCCAGAGCTCCGCATGCTCACAGCATCATAACTAAGCTACACTGGCTACCCCATTCATCATGTAGATTCTAAGGAAATAGGACTAAAACATCATCTAGACAGACTCCCATCACACAGTCAGCAAGAAGCAAGACAATTCCACACAACGCAGGGTCAGAGGGAAGCAAATGATTGGGAGACAGCCCTTAGCCACCAGGAAAAAACCCATGGCGAGAGAAAGTCACAGACAGCACCAGTAGAGAGAGAGGCACATGATTTTCCTTTCATTACCTTCAGATTTAGGACTAGGAGTAGATGCAGGAAACTGGTAGGTAGGAGTGTAAGGACTGTCCTCTGTAGCAGAGAAAAGCAGTGGATTTTGAAACAATCCACCATGAAGCAGAGGAACTGACAAATCCCCAACTGACTCTTGCAAAGGACTGATTACCTGTTTAGTGTTATTAGAGCCCGTGGGCATCACACCTAAAACAGGTTAATGTATTAGAGAGGGCTTAGTCATTTTAATATAGCACGTCATGCAAATGAATGAAATAAAATTTTCGCCAACCAAAAACAACTATAAAAATAATATCTAAAAGCCAAGTCTCATTCCTATAATGGGACTATAGGAATTAATGTAAGGCTAGGACAACAGACACACTGTCTAAGTTTATGGTACCTTCAGAATTTTGCTGGATTTCAGGAAGTTCGGGGAATTTGTACGTAGGGAAATAAGGGTTTTCTTCAGGAGTGTCTAGGCAGAGGAGCAGGTGTGGGAGAGAGAATAGAGGAAGATACAAACGGAGAGAATGAACGAATAGGAATCCACACATAATATAGGCCCCTTGAATTCCAGAACATAAGCTTCACTTGCGACATGAAAGAAATTCACACTGCGTTTAAAAATCCAGTCCTTTTGCCTTCAGTACTGAGACACACTAGAAGAGACAATATCATTTCTCTTCTTTGACAATGAATTATGTATATATAGGCTCTGGGAAGCAAGAGGCATTTAACACAAAGCGTCAAGTTTTTACCTTTTATAGGCAAAGAATATTAGGTATGCTAATAAATAGTATGTAATGAAAACACTATCGTAAAATGTTTTGTAAAATAAATCAAACCTTATGCTGTGGACATTAGAGTTGAGGCAAACAGCTGAGGTTTTCATTTTTCTATACTTCTGCCTACCTTTAAGGTGGACAGTTTTGTTGGGGACCTGTAGTTGAGCAGTTAACAGCTGTAACATAGGAGAGGCCCCTACTGCTTGTGAGGCAGAATCACATACTTTTCACACGTGTGCTTGTGTCTCTGCATCAGGCTGACAGAGCTGGGCTAACGGCTACTGATGAGACACAGCATGCTGGAGGAAATGGACATCAGCTTCAGGAAGTAACCAGAGGAACTGGCACTATCCCATCAGAGACCTGGCCTTTAGCTTCGCCATTCAGACTGAGCTCATCCACCCAACTACAGTGGACTTACTCTCGGCTCCGGAACACTAAACACGAGCATCTCAATATTTAGAGAGTTTGAAGAGGGGCACCTCTGAACACCACAGGAGTCATTAACAGTGACCTTCACTGGCATCCACAGCTAATCAGGGATACTGGTTATTTGTGGCTTAGGCCAACACTGACCGGATGCTTTTTCTTTGCCTTTGTGTGTCATCTGTGCCAGGCAGCCAGACTGGATTTGGCCACGTGGAAAGACAGGATGCTCTGCCTAAGGGAGACTAGTACCTTCCCATGGTGCAGCTGCATCCCTGCCTATCAGCTGACTGTGGCAGAGGCGGATGGGAGCTGGAGGGGCATGACCTGCCCGAGCACTGGCCTGGGGCTCTCCCACAACACCGAGAACCCGCGACCACCTAGCGGGCCTGACCAGGAAGCGCTTCTCTTCCAGCGTGAATGGGCTTTGGACTGTCAGCTCTTGACTGACTCAGGGCTACCTGCCAACGGCTGGCTGCAGATGGGAAGATTATTTTTCATATTAACACCACCTTCCAGGGGACCGGGCATGCTATTCACAAGGCACATTACCAACATCCCTTGGAGGAAGGGAAGCGGGACAAAGAGAGGTAGGTGACTGGTCCAAGATCAGATGAGTCCTGACTCCAGGTCAGAACAGTTTTTAATGCCCAGTTCAGTGCCTTCTCAACTGGGCCTCCTACAAGGCAGTCACGGGCTGACAAGGGGAGGTGCCCCTAAAGCTGGAAGCAGGTGGAAGTTGGAGCTGCTTGCATCCCAGCCAGGCAGATGCCAGAGCACAGGAAGCAGGACCTGTAGCGTCCCACAGCATCTGGGCAGGAGGACTTCCGAGCTGACCTCAATCCCCCGTGTGAGGCAGGCACCCAAGTGTTCCCTCCCCCCTTGGCTCTGGAGATGACGGCTGGGCTCAGGCAGGCTGGCGCTTAATGAGGTCAAGCTGCAGGGCCAGTCCTGGCATACTAGCAAAGTGGGTTTATGCCCACATCACAGCAGTCAGCATGGGAGCACAGCAGAGCTTCTACAAGAGCAAACCAGTACCTCTGTTTAGCTTGTGGATCTGCTTAAACATGGTCTTGTACCAGTCTTTGGATCTCTCGGTGTTCTGGAGAAAGACAAAGGCAAAGAGTAAAATGAAAAGGAAATCCTGGTATATTTCAGAACTTCTACAATTACAAAATCAAAACTGGCAACACCTCAAGTCCAAACTCACATAATTCTACACATCCTGTGATCTCACATTTAACATCTTCTTTAAAAAATGCAAAACTTTTCAGAAAGAACAGACAAACCAAGAGCTTCAGACCTGAATCTGCAGAGTAACACTTGGCCCACAGGACATAGATTTTGAGAACAGTTAGCGAAGCTTACACTTGAAAAGGTGTCTATTTTTATAGAACTTTGTAAAACTTCATTTTTACAGAGAATCTCTTTCTGTATATAGATGACTAAACTGAACTAAAACCTCCTAGAAACATACAAGAGACAAAGAACATTCGCTTATCAGGCCTTGCCCTGTCCATCCCAGGTTATTCTGTAGAAATATTATATGTCTAAGTCACCTTGCATGGGGCCAGAGTTAGAATGCACACATTAAAATGTAACCCATCATTGCAGCCGATGCCAGAGTGGTTTTCCTATTCACACAGCTGGGTTCATTTTTATTTATTTACTTTTAAAGATAAAAATAAAATAAGAACAGGGACAGATAGGTAGTTAGACCAGGTAGTTCACTTCTATTAATACTTTACAAATGAGGAAAAATGAGTCAAAGCCATCCAAACTGACAGAGCTGGTGAGAAGAGGAGTAGAAGGGCCACCTCATCTATAAAACGGGAACAATATTATTATTCACCTTATAAAGTGAATGATGCTTAAATGAGATAATGCACTTGGCAACTGGTAGCTGTGATCACTGCTGGTAATAATTCTCATTATAATTACTACAAAACTATCCTATATAATAAAGAGCTAATATGGAAATGGTCATCATGCCCTCACGCCATGATGCCCATGCCCGTCACAATCCATCACAGGAGGCTAAGTGTGCAGTGGGCGTGTGTGGGTGGGCGGGGCTATGTGTTCAAAGAGGTGTGGATGGGTGGGCGTGGACTTGATATTGCTTGTTAGGTGCAGAAGTGGGTTCCTTGGCTCCAGCCTACCTATTTGGGGTGATTGATCTTGGGGCTCTCGCACTGTGAGAGGGCACAGGTCAGGCTGGCCCTGCCCCTCCCAGTGCACAAATTTTGTGCACTGGGTCTCTAGTTATTCTATGAGACTGGACAACAGTTCCTTGGAGGCTGGGCCTACTGTTGTTCCTCTCAGCCTTCTCCATTGGGCACATAAACTTGTACACTTGCTCCAGGGGAATCACTTAGAAGCACATGGCAGCCGTTTTCTGTTGGGCACATGGAGAGGAATAGAATTCACCCTAATCCAGTTTTTAGGATTGGGCTGCCCTGGAATCCCTGAGGACCTGCACGAGGCTGGCATGCCTGTACGGGGGGGGGGGGGGAGAGGGGGGAGGCTGGGCAGGCAAACCTGAGACCACTCTATTCTGGAGGCCTCAGCAGGCAGAGCCTTAGTTTCCCTTTCATGCTGGGTGACGGGCTTGTTCCCATCAGAAGAAATGCTGCCAGAACCCATAAACAGGGACCCTGAGCCTCACTCTCCCCATCCGCTCTCTAACCCTGGACTAACAATTTCGGAGACTGCTCCCTAGAACAGCGAATAATGTGTCCATGGGTGGGGCAGACTGGGAAACTGCTGGAAACATTTTTCTCTTTGACATGCACATCCCAAAGCCTCTCAGTTCTGTTGCAGAGAAATCTCGCTGCCCTTGTTCCATGAAGCTTTTCTTCATGTTTATTCAACCATGAAATCCCTTTTCTCACGAGACTTACGGCACCTCTTTGGGGAAAGCTGCTGCACCGGGAGCCTAGAACCAAGGTGGGCTCGGAGTGCTCTGAGGCTCCTTGCCCTCAGCAGGCTCAGACAGTGGTGAGGACCCTTCTACGAGGCCTTTGCAACCCAAGATAGGGCCCACATGCATGCAGGGGTGCACACTTGTCCCTGGCTGATAGGAGGCCTCTGAAAGGTGGGACTCATACCCGGAGTGGGATGCCCACTTCATCCATGGACACATCGCTCAGGTCCTGAGTGCTCTTAGCCACCCGCCGGCCGTCATCCTTGGCCTTTTTGTCAGTGGACCTGCCAGGAGAGGTAGGTTTTTCCTGGGTTGGTGCCGAGTCCTGTTCTCCCACTCTTCTTTCTGACACAGGATCTGGAAGTGAAAAACAACCGTGAGTTGAAGTTCTTCTGGTAGCTCCAAAGCAACCCCCTCCCCCTGCCAAGAAAAACCCCCACCCTCTCCAACAATCCAGCTGGGGGAAGTGTGCTTGGTAATTCTCAATTGGAACAAGTTTCATGTAGAGCAAGGGTCAGTAAACCAGGCCCAGCCACCTGTTTTTGTAAATAAACTTTTATTGGAATACAGCCACACCCATTCATTTACGAATTATTTATGGCTGCTTTCAAGCTAAAATGGCAAAGTTGAGTAACTGTGACGGAAACCATATGGCCTGCGAAGCCTAAAATATTCACCATCTGGCCCTTTAAAAAATCTGCAGAGGTATACACCAGGGGTTGCAGACATCGAGTGGCTCTGACTATCAGGGAGCAAGTACAGCCATCAAGAGGCGGCCAAACATTCCTTGAAAGTCCTTGTTCCATCTTGGGGAAGTCACTGAACGCTTCCGTGCCCGTTTTCTCATTCAAAAATGGGGATAATCCCTCCACTGGCAAGCTCACAGGGACGCTACGCGAGGACCTAACAAGATAACTCATGCCAAAATGCTCAGAAAGCTCTACATTGTTTAGTGCACATTAGAGTACTTTAAATTTGATTCAGGATTGGAAGTTACAAAGAGCTAATAAACGTTCCATGTGTGGTCTACAGATTATAAAATTACTCTGTTTAACCTGTTATTCCAAGCCATGTCACTTAGTTATGGGAAGGCATTTACTAAGTCCCTGCCAGGTGCTACACAAAGGAAAGGGAACAGGGCCGGGGAAGACAGGGAGAGATGGCCTCTTCCATTTAGACATGGTAGCTGAGGTGACAATGAGATGTTCATGAAGAAATGCCTCAGAACCCCTAGAAGAAATGTGGGAGCGGAGCCAGGTGAGAGGCCCCAGCAGGAGTGCAATTTTGGAGCCATCAGCACGAAAGTGAAGGCTGAGGTCAAGGAGCTGGAAGGGCTCAGCGGAGAAGGTAAATGAGAGTCAAGGGCTGAACTCATGCACCAAGGAATGTGGCAGTCTTAGGCTCCCCAGAAGATGCAGGAGTTGCCAGAGGGGCAGGAGATGAACCACAGGCACAGTGAGGTGCCAGTGAAACCAGAAACAATGCCAAGAAATGGGTGGTTAAATATGTCAAAAAATAAATTTAAAAAACCCTCAAAACAGAAATTGAAGCAGAGGAGGAGAAGTTCCTCCCGACTTCACACTGTGCTTTCAAAAGCAAGATCCTGGAAGTAAACCACACTGGAATGGTGGGGGCGGGAAAGCTTTGTGACTGAGGTTACAGCCCTGCTGACACTTCTCTTGGGGAGGCGCCCCTCTGCCCTGGCCCCTTCGTCCTGTCTGTCCACCCAGAGGACCCTGAGCCCAGGGGCTCTTTCCCACAGTCGCTGAGCAAGTAGCCCCCAAGGGTGGCTGGCAAGTCACACGCCTGCAGGTGAGACGGCAGAGCCTCACTTGCTCCAGGCACAGGTTTGAGTACCAGGCCCGCTCCCTCTGCTGAGAGCTCTGAACACAATGGTGTCTCTTTTTAAAACAAAACTAACATTTAGTGAGCTAGGGATGTGCCACCCCATCAACACCACGAGTGGATCTGTCCCCAAACTCAAAGAAGACAGAGCACGAGGCTCTTTCAAAGCTGGGAAGTGGCTCAGGACTGGTGGCACAGCAGACAAGCCCTGACATTTAATAGCACTTTCCAGAGTGCAGGGAATACCCCAAAGCCTCCTGTCGCCCACACAATCCTGCAGAGGCAAGGACTGTCACCCCACTTCCCACATGAGCAAACTGGCTCAGAGAGGTGAAGTCACTAACCCAGGGACAAACAGCCACAAGAGGGAAGAGCCAGGACCAAACTCTGGGTCTAACTGGGTCTGGGTGCCTTTTAAAAATCGATTCCACTGCTCCTTTCATTCTCTCAGAGGCAGGAAAGAGCCCATAGGAGCCACCTCCCCTTCCCCCGCACCTCGAGCCACCCTGCTCTCAGCAACCTGGGCTGGGGCCACAGAGTGAAGTGGCACCTTGAGGAGGGGGCAACGCAGGGCACCTTGTGTTCAACCACAGCCTGTCCTGGTTCCACAGCCAAGTCCTGATAAAGCTGAGAGGGTGTGAGAACCCCGTGTCCTGCCCACCCGGGCTTTCCACGAAGCCCAAGGACGGCATGGGATGGAGCAACACAGGACTCACAGCGCAGCGGCTCAGAAAGCGGCGGCTTTTCCTATCCACCAAACCAGGGGCTCTTAACCCCCGGGTTCAGGACTATCTGCAAACGACCACAGGCGTGCGTTTTCACACGCGTGGCTTCTTCTAGAGCAGTGGCTCCCAATCTTTCTAAGGCCGCGACCAGAAGAGCTCACGAGTCTGTGCTGATGGAACATCAGGTGGTGACCGGAAGCCAGCTAGCTTTACCACGAACAGGTGCTAACGTGAAAATAAATATTTCTCACCTACCTGACAGGCTGCTGAGTCGTTTCTGCTGTTCTGTGATAAAAGAAAAAAATACACAGTGTGAGGTTTACAAAGATGTGGTAAAACCGAGACATCCAGGCACAACTCATTAGGACCCCCGTGTCAGTGTCCTCCCCGTCCTCTGGGTTTCGCTGCTGAAGCACTGCAGCCAGCGACAGAGCGTGTTCACATGGCCCTGTCATCCAAGTGTGGTATCTCTCACCCCCGACCCTGGGTCTGCACCAGGTCTCAGGCACGGTCTCCGTTGTTCTGGGTGTTTACATCAATTCTCAGGATAATCTGGTCACTGAAGGAGACCCTCCCACCTCCATTGGCTTCAAGGGTGAGGACTTCGCACAACCCAGTCTTGATACCTTTTAATAGTAACCATGGCAGCTACCACCTCCTGAGCATTTGTAGATACCAGGCATTGTTTTAAGAGCTTTCCCACAGGTCAATGTTTTTAATCTTCGCAACAACCCTACCATATAGGTCAAGGTGGTTGAGAGGCAAAAACTACCCAAGATGACACTGAAAACTAGAACTGGTCTAAAATCTGGAATATCCTTATCTCTAGCCCAGGATCTTTTTAACTCTAATCACCAGTCCATTTCTTTAACACTGAGGGCTATGGGTTCTCACCCTTCGGGGCACTCAGGAGGAAGGAGCCAACCTCTCCCTTGGAGAGTACCGTGTGGACGTGCTATGGCATATGCACAAAAATGACCTCCATCTTCCATAGCTGCTAAATATAAAGCAGCCACATAGATAAACACAGAGCGCCTGCCAGCCACGGGTGCTGTCATTTTCCCCTTTGGCCGTGTCCCCACCCTCCCTCCAGAATCAGTGTGTGCAAGAAGTAGAGAGAGCAGCAGGAGGGCCCTGCTGTGGAAGCAGCCCTGTCTACCTCAGGCCAGTGGTGGGGGCTCATCCACACGCTGAACAGAGCCCAGCAGAGCTCAAGGCACCGCACTGCCAGCCACATACCAGACCACACTGACTAATCGTCACCTCCATTTCCTCATTTGTAAAATCAAAGCGCTCACTGGATCCATGGATCCCGCTCTGGTCTCCAAGCTAGGGCAGGCTATTCCCCAGGAGGCAAAAGCCCATTTATCCCATTTAAAACAATATGTTGTTCCCACTTCTCAAGTGTGAAAGGCCCTTTTTTCTTGGAATCACATGCGATGAAGGTAAAGCAATTGTTTTTCAAGGGTGTTATTTAGCAAAGTTAGAAATTAACAACCCTAGGGTTGTCCCAGACTGATACATGTGACAGAAGTCTGGGGACCAAAAGCTCTTATCTCCAGTGTGGTCCATGGACCAGCAGCACCAACACACCCTGGGAGCTGCTGAAAAGTGCAGAACCTCAGCCCTGCTTCAGAGCTCCTGAGTCTGCACCTGCATCTGTAAATCAAGAAGACCCCTCCCCCCGGAGTCCAGGCACAATCGAGGCTGCGGAGCTCTGCCCTGGCCGGGAGCTCAGTTGGTTAGAGCATTGTTCCGACACACCAAGGCTGTGGGTTTGATCCCTGGTCAGGGCACCTACGAGGTTCAACCAATGAATACATAAATGAAACAACAAACCTTTTCTCCCTCTCTCTCTCTCTCTCTCTCACACACACACACATTTTAAAAAACTTAAAACAAAACAAACACCGAGAAGCCTGGAGGTAGGTAACCATGCATCTCTCTCAGTCTTCAGTTTTCTGATTCCAGTGCTCCTACCAGACTGATCATAAGAATCTGCCCTCAGACATGCATGTAAAGTGAAAGCTCAGGAGAGGAGCAAGGGCTGTGTGAAGCATGACCTTCCGAGCCAGCCAGACCGAGGAGCCCTCAGTCTGCTTGCAGTGCAGGGAGCTGGCTGTGACATGGGGCTATGGGGCTACTGTCACACCACCCCCTGGGCCAGTCTAGGCAGGAAAGATGGGATCCTTTCTTAGGATGACTGAACTAGAATTCCAGAAGTGGAGTAAAGTTATCATTCCCTCGAGACTTTGCAACAGTTAAGAAACTTTTTACGGGCATTATCTATGATGCAAAGCAGAGCTGCCAGGCTGGGTCCATTCCAAAGCAAAGCCAAAAATGCTTGACCTAAACCCCACTGGCCATCAGTCCCCCAAGGCGGGGCCAGCGAGGCGCTTCCATTCTCCTGCACTCTTCCTGCCGCACCTCCCTGGGCACATCTGGTTTGCTCTTTATAGGAAGCTACTTTTCATTACAAAACACAACACACATATACGTGTATCCTTTCCTGAAGGATGTGTGCTGCGGGCTGCACAATTCTGATTTTCAAACCCTGGGGCAGGGCTTGGACAAAAGGGAAATTTAGAACCAAAGGCATCTGGGCAAATAAGAAGAACCCGCCTGTTCAGGAGAGAAACTAAAAGGAAGTACGGGCACGCCTGTGCCCAAAGATGTCTCACTCTGTGTCAGAGGACTTGGCAGAAGCAGCTGACATTACACTTGGCATTTCTCAAAACCCAAGTTGCCTTGGGAATAAGTCCCATTTTTAGAGAAACTGCTTTTTCCTTCTGGGAACTCACTTGCTTCTGTTTGACTGCATTTTTAAAAAAGATGAGTCATAAAGAAGTTCATAGAGAACCAAAACTTCACTTTGTCCTGCATTAGGGACATTTTCTGGGCAGGGAAAGCCATTGACGAGAGGAGAATGGGCTCTTACATAATTTAGTATGGGGGGTGGGGGCACTTCTTATTTTTTGAAGAACACAGATTCATGGGTGAAAATTAATATGGGAGCCACACCGAGTGGAAAAAAATAAAATTACTAAAATAACTAAGATTGAAGTGGGAAGACTTTCAGTAAGGGAAAATGTTTCATTCATCTGTTTTTTAAGTTAGAAGCAGGAAACAGAAAACTCCATTTAATATGGAAGACAATTAAAAATAGATTTCAGCCTCTCATTCTCATCCAAGTTAAGGCAGAGAGAGGCGGAGGGGAGGGAAACTGTGAAGTAGGCAAGCAGGGAGTGAGGGAAGGAAGATTTAGTACCAAGCTGTGAGCTCTGAATAAAATAGTAAAACCTCACTCAGAAACACCCCGAAAGCTCGAAAAGTTCACATTTCACAGTGCAAAGACCTTTGGGGGAACGGACAGCATATCCCTCTCTTGAATCCCAAAACCAAAACATTTGGATTTAGAAACATCTTCTGGAATCTTAAAGCAGAGGCCAATACATGCAATTATCACCTCAAAGCACTTCTGCTTCCCCAAGGAGTCCTGTAAAGAAGGGGAAGAACCAGCCCGAGGAACTGCAGGAAGCACACACAAAACCCTGGCAGAGTTGCCTGGGGCCACGCTGGGAAAGGGGCACACAGCCACGCAGTCTCCAGAGGGTGAGCTGAAAGGTGGCCCGGTGTGCGAACTGCTGGCAGGAATGGAGGCTGGTGAGACACCGAGAGGTCCAGTAGCCTCTATGCTAGAGGCAGAAAAACATGACTGACATTTTAGAAAATATTCCATTCCTAGGTTTACAGTTCTGGTGCTGCTCAAGGTTCTCTTTGTAGAGAACTCATGACGTCAAAGAGCTAAACCATTCAGGGCACTCCTGGAAAGAGGTATCACTGCACCTAGAGCTTCCAAGCAAAGCTCTGATGAGAATTCTCATAAGGGATTAAGGGGCCCAGACTTTCCCTTTCCGTCTCTTCTTTCTTTTTGGTGCTACCCTCTGAAGACGCTGTGAACACCCAAGGTGTGGAGCACACACTGCGGAAGCTTACTTATTCTGATACCTGACGTCACCCCACATCAGAGGACTGTCCGCTACCATCTACTCGGTGGGTCGTGGGAGGAAACGGGGGGCAGATGGCCTCGGAGAGGAATGAGATTTGTGAAAATTTCCATGGGAAGGCAGACTTATTGTCCCGGGGTCATGGAAACAGCGAGTGGAGGGAGAGGTTCGCGGCGCAGCTCCCTTACCTCGGTTGTGCTGCAGGAGCACAATAGTGGGGTTGACAATGGTCGTGGAGGGGTAGGCAGAGGATGGCTTGCTGACTGGTGCACAGGTTTGGGAATCAGTTCTGACACGAGATGAAGAAACTTCATTTAGCAGAGGACTTGAATCCTGCAAAAGGAAAAACATTGTCACTGTCAGTACACAAAACCTAGAGCTAACGCTTTTTAAAAAGAAAATTAAGGTGGTTCAAGGACCTTAATTAGAAAAAGAAATGTAATCAATGAGACGTCATTGATTCCGGTTAGAAGCTTAACCTGGAATGCATATTCTCTTCGCTGGTATTAGTAAGGGGAGAGAGGGAAGATAATGTCACTGAAGGTCTCAGCAACATTATTCATTATTTTCACCTGGTAAGAAACGTGGATCAATCCAGTTACTGAAAAAGCAAATTCAAATCGAAGTGGAAAAAAAACATGCAAAACGCATGCAATTCCAAATGGGGTCTGAGCACAAGTGCTGGTTTAATAGGGAAAAATCAGGAAAGTTTAGTACACTGTTGACAGAAACATGAGAGGATGTGAGATAAGCCACACATGTAAGAATAGGAAGGGTTAAGTACTGGTACTCTTGGACAGCTATTCTTGTCAGCCACATCACTGAACAGCCTTGCTAGAACTTGCTGCTGAGATTCAGATATTACCCTGTACTACAGCGATCCTTTCTCACTCCAATATCGACTGACAAAGATCTCTGAAGTCAAGACTTGTGAAAATCCTGACTTTTAAAAACCTGGGGGTCTCAGCCAGAAATACCAATAAAATTATTACTACCAACGTTACAATTTACACGATGGGAATAAGGGCAGTCTTCTTAAAGACAGGAAATAAGGCTTAGAAATGTAGTGAGGATATGTAAACAATGTCCTCTGACATACCTATACATTTAGCAATGTTTCTATTTTAGAATTTACAGGGCCTAAAGCCAGAATATCATTCTTAAAGGTTTGAAGAACAAGATTTTGCTACTGCCAGAAAAAAACATAGCATAAAAGCAATTTCTGTGCTCCCTCAGAGATCATGGCTCTATAAGTACCTGCAGGACTAGAGACACAGCCCCATCCTTCTCCTTCCATCCCCTACCCTAGTACAATGCCCTGCAGACAGCAGATGCGCAGTAGTAAAACGCCACATGAATGACAAGAGCCACCTACCCGCAAAGTTGCTTCTGAACAACTTGTGTTCAAAAGAACAAGAGGTTCAGGAAAACACATGCCCACCAAAAGAGAGGATGTGCGTGTCAGGACCCCGGACAGCTCCTGACACACAGTAGGGGCGGCTTCCTGGGACCCACTGGCTTGGTCAGTCCGCCTAGTCTGAAAGTGCCCCAATGTCACAGCTGCTACTTATGAGTGGCAGCTCAGGGCAGTGAATGAAACTTCCCCCTAAGACTTGAGGCACAAGATGGTCTTGTACGAAAGTGCCTTGTCTTAATTTTTCATCTGCAAAGTGGGAAAACAATCACACTATCCTATTTACTTCCAAAGTAACAGTACACAAATAAATGACATATCAGTGAAAACTGCCCTAATACAGCCAAGAAACGTGAGAGTCAGGCACACAGCTTTTTAAAGTGTGCGTACTGCCCATGAGGCCCGGAAGGATCACATGAGCATTACGCATTTTATAAATTTCATTCTGTGGCAATTTGGAACTTGACAAAAATGGTTACTGACTAGAAGAACCTGGACCAATTAACGTGAATTTCCTTCGTCCCTCTTACTATCAAATGGCTGCAGATGGAGCAGATATCAGTGGTTGCTTGGCCACCATCCACGGGGATCTGCTCTTCTTGACGATCCTCATTTGGGGGAGGAACCTAAGTTTCCCTTTTCACCTCCTACTTCACACTACCTGGGCCAAACTAGAAGTTACCAGGCCAAGCGAAGTCTCCCGGGAAGTCTGTATGTCAGTGGGGTTTGAGAAGCTGAGGACTGTCCCAACTAACCTGCCCTGGTCTACCTGAACAAACTCAACATGAACACCTAGATCTACACAGCCTACCTGCTCACCGTGCACATGAGCACACTGACAACGCTGCTCTAGAGAAACATTTTGTGCCCAGGGGAAGAGCACCTGTATTCTCCAAAACAAAGGCAGCTGCTAACTTCGCCTGTAAGTTGAGCGAGGGTAAGGTGAGTGCATCAGGAAGCAATTTAGCATTTTTCTCCACCTGGGCTGAGTTGTAGAGGTCAAACTAGGACATCCAAGCCCCCGGGCCACGTTTGACAGGGTCCTGACCTAACCCATTAGGCTGTATCTAGAGTTTTGAGAAGGGCCGGGCATTGTATCTGATATCTCACTATAATTTCTCTTAAAAGCCTCCTTCCCCCACAAGTTTTCCTCCTGCTTGATTAAACTGCATGACTTGCTTGTTTAACGAGCCACTTGAGCCTGTTTTGGAGGCGGACAAGGGATGCCAGTGTACATTAGTTCCATCAGCCAATTGCATGGCCCTACGTCTCAAAATGTGGCCCAGGCACCCTCAGCATCAGAATTCCCCCAGGATGCACATTGCCACGTAGTTTGAGTTCTAGATCTCTCCCCAGATCCACTTGGTTAGAATCTCTGGGAGTATAACCTGGAGAGGACGATTTACTAAATGCATTTTCCTGCCGCTCAATGACTATGTACTCTGAGCTTGAGAGCACAGCTCAGATGAACCCTCTGAGGGCAGTGGCTGTGCCCTGTTTGTAGAGAATCGAGAAGAATGCCAGGACATGGTGGGGACTCAGTGATTGCTAATTAGCCAGTTACTTAATTTTGAGGACAAGTCCTGGGCAATGGAGCTAACATTCATTGGGTGCTCTCTCAGTGCCAAGCACCATAATTGGACTTTTATATTCTCAGGCCCACTGCATCCCACCACCCTGTGTGTAGACACATGCACCCCCATTTTACAGCTCACACTGAGGTTCTTTCAGTGTCTCAATCCCCAGGGCTCCTGAGAAGAGAAAGACTTCGATGCAGTCTTTCTCTTGGGCTTCCCCCTCTGGGTTAGGGGCCTGTCCCTCACAGGACCCTTAAGCTTCATGACCAGTGAGGCGCTGTTTTGCCACAAAGGCCCTGGGAGCTAGTACTCAGGGTCCCCAATTATCTGCCAGTTGAGGAAACAGTCCTAACATTCGTACAAGGCTTTTATACCCATTTCCTCAATCATACTCAACTCTCTTTTTTAACCTAGGCTCTGCTATGACTGTGGACACCAGTTTGTTTACTTGCTAAATCCACACGAGAGTGAATCTCTTCCTCCCTGCTCCCTGAGGGAGAAATGGCTGTTGGTTTTTCCACCTGGTTCGTCAGCTTTCCTCAGCTCTCAACAGTACACCTGCCTGCCTGTGGCGAGCACACCTAGCAGAGGCAAGGCCACCGAGGCTGTATTCTCCGTGGAGAACAGAGATGTGCATTCCGAACAGGACAGCGAGGAAGAGGGATGGAGACCGTGAACAGCCACGAGAGCCCGGGATACATGGGAGGCATGCACTCGGGAGAGCAGACCCGGCTCCAGCCATCACGCAAGCACAGGGCAGCCAGCACTCCCTCGGAACTTAGTACTCCAGTGAGAAGGACTTTTACTGCCGGAGCAGACATTCAGGAAAGCCGCGAGGGAGGGATCCCAGCAAGCTTACGGTACTTGAAACAGCTCCCGTGAGGTCAGGCTCCGAGACGCTGTGCAGGCCCTCCGGGACTGGGGGGACCAGCGGAGGCGGTGGTGAGAAGGATGGTGGTGTCTGGCTAACGGGGGAGTGGGGGCCAGGAGCGCTGGCTGGCGGGCTGTGGTGGGGCCGCCTCTGCAGACGAGGGGGAATGAAATCATCTAGAGTCGGGAAGGTCAGAGGTGAGCTGGCAGGGGCGGCCGCCGGGACTGGGGGGCCCAGTGGCCCCAGAGGTGCTGGAGGTCTGGCAGTGCCTTCTTGCCCTCTGTCAGTGTTAACCAGGTAGAGAGGGACAACTATGACCTCAGGCTGGGCTGGGCTGGAGGAAGTAGCATCCTGTAGGAAATAAGCGGGTCGTTACGCAAAGGGGTATGGCAGCAGGGGAGAAGGAATTCCATATTTAAACAGTCGGGAGTGGACATGCAATGATGTACTCTGAGAACTATTTAATCGGTGCCCTTTGCTCAGGGTGCATGAGACAGTCGGTGCTAGCCAGCTGGCCTCCTGACACTCTATGACACAGAGGGAACCCCATCCAACTTGACTTTCCATCCATCTATTTTTGAATCCTTTTAACACTTTAGGAGAGAGACAGAGAGAGAACAGGCAGGCAGGCTGTGTTTAACCCCCAGAGCTGCTTGCGGAGCCTGAAAGCTTGGGAGGAAATACAGTTTCTTTGGCACTTGTTATAAAACATACACGCCGTGTCTCGCCGTAGTATCAGGCCACGTATTCCACACGCTGGCATACTTACATATTCACAGGAAGGACAGACAGGGAGACAGGAAGGACTGTGCTGAGATGTTTAGAGAATTCGGGGTTCAAGCTGCAGTGGTATTAACGAGGACAGGGAGGGGAGGGCAGCCCGGAACACAAACAAGCTCTCACACGAGTTCCAGAAGAGACGGGGCAGACACACAAACATTCCTAGTTCCTTGCCTTGGCTGGATAACACGGCTGCAAAAGGTAAGGCTGTTTTCTCCTCCGGTTTTCGGGATCAGAGGTAACCTGGGGGCCTAGCACAGGTGGGCCCACTGCGTCTGGGAACGAAGGCCGAGTCCCCGGGGAAGGACTCTCGCCACGGTTACCAGCATCTTTACGGGGGTCAGAGAACAGCTGGGGAGAGTGAGGAGGAGCAGAGCGTGGCTTTCCCGTGCCCGCTGTGCAGGAGACAATGCTGGGAGCCGGTGCTCGAGTGCCTGGGGCTGGGTCACGTGCAACACGAGAGCAGCTTTCCGGTGCCACCGGGCCAATGTTATTGGCTAAACAAGGTACATATAAGCTGCTGACCTTTTTATTCCCAACTGCCTTATGACGTGGGCTAGAGCTCACATTCCCACTATAAACGGTCCTGGTGGCTGCACAGTGGCGCTGGGGTTGGGATGAAGCACTGGGGGACGTGAAACCTGGAAGCGAAGGCCCCGGACACACCACACTTTCGGGAGCTGATCTGCCTGCCCCGGGGGCAGAGACAGGCTGGGGAGGTGAGGGGTTCTGCTGGCTGGGGGTGCCGGGAGAGGCGTAAGGCTTTGGTGAGCTCCGGTAGAGCGCGTCCTTGGAGGAACTGTGGAGGGCAGGGGGCTGCCATGCAAAGTGGCCCACTTTAGGGAGAGGAGGGCGTGGGCGAGAGAGGACCTTCAGCAAGATTTTCAAGACACAATATTAAGACAGAAAAAAGAGAGAGGAAGGGAAATGGAAAGAAGGATGACCATTAGAAACAGCAGCATAACATGATCTGAAGAAAAAACAACACAATTTTGGACAAGTTTTTAAGCAAATCTCAGCGTAGACTCTCATGGAGTCTCCGCCTCTCTCTGGGTCAAGCCGACTCACTCACCTGAAGGGGCAGGCCCGACCCCTCACCCGCAGGAGGGAGCTCAGCCGGGAGAGGCCCCACGCTGAGCCAATGCTGATGCTGGTCCTTGGCTGAAGAGGGGTGCCCAGGCAGGGGCTAAGCCAGGAGAAGAAGCCCCAGACCCCCAATGACTACACCTTCTCTCCTCAAAGATTCTCCTCCTTATGCTTTTGGCTTTAAAAGTTTAAGTTCACTGAAACTCTCAAGGGTCTTTCATGTGTTTCCCTTAGGAAATGGAGACTCGGAAGAGCCATCCTTATTTGTGCTTACAGGAGTCAGAGGTCTAACGGAATCCCTGAGCCCTTGCACTCACTTCCATAAGCAGAACAATCACAGCTCGCCAAGAAGAGAATGCTAAGGGCTTAGCATCCACATGTGCTCTCTCCTCGGAGGAAACAAGTCGATGGAACTAATTATTAGAAGGAAGACAGGGTGGGGTGAAAAGCATGGAATCTCCGATTTCTGACGTACATGGAACAAAGGGATCAGACAATGAAGCACTTGATTCGCCTACCAGATTGGGTTGTACTGGGTTCATCAAACTCCAGCCATTCCCACCCAGCCCACTAGGAGGCACTGCATTCTGGAGGGATGTGATCAGCCCAGGGCTCCTGGCTTCAGAGCTGGAAAGCTACATACAGGTCACATCTCCCTCCCTCTCCCTCCACATGACTCCTCCATGGGGCTCGTGGAGCAGGAGGAAATGGGGTAAATCTCCAGACTGATCCTGTGAGAGCCATCTATCAACCTGTGGCTCACCTGGGAGTTAGACCATAGATGTGCAGTTTATTTTCCTAGTGTTATGGCTGAATGTGTGTGTCGTCCCAAATTCATGTGCTGAGACCCTAACCCTAAGTAATGAGTTTTAAAGGTGGATCTTTAGGAGGCACTTAGGATTAGATAAGGTCATGAGGGTGGGCCCCCAAGATGTGAATAAGTGTCCTTATAAGAAAAGGAAGTGATCAGAGGGCCCCCCCCCTCTCCTTTTTCCTCTCCATCTCCCTCTGTCACCACCCCCCCAACACCCCGTCCCCCAGCATGTGAGGACACAGTGAGAAGGCAGCCATCTACGAGCCAGAAACAGAGCCCAAACCAGGAACCAAATAGGCCAGTATCTTGGACTCCTAGCCTCCAGAACTGTGAGAAATAAATATATATGGTGTTTCGTTCCAGCAGCCCAAGCCTAGACACCTAGATGCCCTTCACTGGCCCCAGTCTTTAAAGATAACCTCCCTCCAAATGGCACAGGTGAGATCATTAGTGTGTGGTCACTATCTGGTAAATGGGTTGTGACCAAAAACTGGGAAGATACAAGGGTATGGGTCTATTTTGAGGTTGCTTTTTATTTTATTTTTATTTCTTTGTGGAGTGCAGGTGGCAAGGGGTAAAGGAATATTAGCCAGGGTAATTGAAGAGAAATAAAAATGTTTGATGAGCCTAGATTAGAATATTAAGCCAGAAGCAACTGACCTATCCCTTAACAAACTCGATTTTCAAATAACCTGGATGGAGAAAAGCCTCCTTCGGTATGTTGGGTTGACTTGATGCCTATCCTTCCACAGGCTGCCCATGATCGTGCCGGTGGGATGCAGCCACATGGCACATATATACTGGCCAAACAGACAAAAAGAGCAGCACCAATTCAGTAGAAACCAGAAGCAAAGCCTTCCAGACGTGCTCACCTGGCCCCTGTAAGCGCAGGCTGGAAGCTGGGGCGAGTTTATAGACTAAAGTATGCTCTCTAGAAACAAAGTGCCTGAACTAACACGCACCCCAGGGACCGCGGGGTAAGGTGATAATGTGGCCAGGGAAGTAAATAAAAGACAATTTTGAATTAGGCTCAGATTTACTTTTACTTTGAGCCGGAGTGTCCCACATGTGATTCCTTCTTGTCCAAAGATAGAAATCAATTGCAATGAGGTTTTAACTAGATTTGGCTCTGGCCATATACGGTGCCACAGCTGCATTACATCAGGCGCGAGCCTTCCCAGGGCCTTGACCCGGTGGAGAGGACGCCTCCCCAGAGTGCTGACAACGCGCTCGGAGCCAGAGGCCTTCCTGTCCTGGGGCTGCTTTTAGCCCCAAAGAAGGAGGGGGTAGCCACGGTTCCCTTACATGGAAGGCGCTGCTTCATCGTAAACGTGGCAGGAACCACACTGGCAGTCCCCATCCTCCCCAGCAGGCTACTACTGAGATCTCATTTCTTTTAGCAGAAAGCGAGGCAGTGAAAAGATGGGGCTACTTGGAAGCATCTGAGTGGCTCCTACTTTACACCAATCCCCCCCCCCCCCTCTCCCCTGAGGACACCAACACGATGACGCTGTCAGAGAGAGGGCAGCCCTGGCTCCCTATCACTGGGGGCAAGGACAGCAGGGCAGCAGGTCCAGGCTGGCAGGAGCCAAGAAAGCCTGTGGGAACAACAGGGACAGGCTCCCCCTGAAGCTTCTGGACCCTGACACAGTCCTTCTGAGGAGATGCTAGGACTGTAGGGATAGGAGAGCCTCCTACAGCTGAAACCAGGCCCGGCAGTCCCCCAGCCACCTGGCTGCTCTGAGCCAGTGAATACTCGCAGCTTTGGCAATGGCTCTACAGACACGTTGCATTCAGCCAACAAATTCAAGAGGTAAGGCAAGACCTAAAGGTTCTTGACATTTGGATGGGCAACTTTACTCTGAACATATGGGATTCAACTGCTTTAGCAGCAATTTACTAGGATCCCTTAAAAAAAAAAAAAAAAAAGCAATGTTTTGGATAGTGACAGGTAAGAAAATACGCTATTCACAGGCGGTATAACAGGATATTCACACTTATAAAAGCTTACAAACTCCTCGAGGGCGACATTTAACAGTGATCTGAACACAAGTGCCCAATAAAGCTGCAGTAAATGAATGTGTTTTGAGTGACTTTTGTTTAGTTCACATGCTTTTAAAATAATCTCTTTTGAAGAGCTGCTTAAGAAGCCAAAAGGAATCGGTGAGCTATCCTTGAGCTAAGTCACCGAGGGGAAGAGGGCGTGGGTCAGCGCTGTTTCCTAACCAGGCCAAGCCGCCCGTATCTATTCAGGAGAAAGAAGCCTGCCTGTGGACCGCAGGCAGCAGGCAGCAGGCAGCACGCTTACCCGCCTGGAAGGTCATAGAAAGGGAAAACTAGGGCACACCACCTACTGGGCAATCCAGGTTCCCGTGTCTAATGAAGGCTTCAGGAGGTGCATTAGCAGTTCCTGGTTCTAACCAGTGGCCCTAGATGCACTGGCCATGGCCCAGGGAGGCAGCCACGGTGCGGGGAGGCTTGGTGGTGCCGCTGGGCACACAGGCAGACCATTAGGTGACCAGCTCTAACGCTGGGGAGGCGGGGTCTGCAGAGAGGCAGGAGGACCTTATCTCTGACTCGGTTTCTTTTTAGAGGCCAGTCCTCGGGAACAGGAACCAAAGGGCTGCTGGAGAAGGTGTGTGGGAGCTAGGAAGGAAATGCAGAACTCCCAGGCTCCCGGCGGGTCCTGGGAGAGGCACCCCGTCAGAGGCAGGCCCGGGGGAAGGACCCCCCGAGGAGCACACTTCTGCCACACATGTCGGGCAGCACAGCTTCCTTTAAAGGAAGGAACGGCTCCATTCCGTGGCTGCGGCTCCTCTATGTAAAACCCCCTCACGGACTGCCTGATTAAAACAGGGCCATTCCTTTCTTCCCAACAGCAAATAGCCACAGGGAAGCGAGGGGCCATCAGGAAAACAATCTGGGGCGAGAGACTGAAGCAAAATGATCTCTGCTCCCAGTTGTACACCTGGAGGTTCTCTCCTGGGCAAGGTGAGAAGTTTGGACTACAGGTGCTCCCATTTTGACTTCTAGCTGCTGCTCCTGGGCCAGGGCCTGAGGACTGGCCACAGCTCCCCATTTGAGACTGAAGAGAGAAGAGCTGCTGGAACTTTTACAGCCCCACCTGCAGCCGGTTAACGGGATAAACACACGAGTGCAGTCTTGTCTTGAATATTACACTCTAAAGAGTTTTTAACAAACAGGCTCAGAACGTTCCCCCGCTATCCAAGGCCAAATGGCTTCCCTGTTCCAGAACATTCCTAAACACACGCTACTTGCATAACACATTGGGCCTCTATTTCCAATCCCCTGGGACAGACCAAGCTAGTCCCACACCTCTGCTCCCCTCAGCCCCAACTCTCCCCCAGGCTGGTGTCTGAGTTTCCCCAGAGTGGCCAACAGCACAACTCTGAGCCAGCCCATTCCCTAGCGGAGCAAGCTGGCAGTACAAACGGAAGCTAAACGACTTAGGAACAGGTACCGCTCACCGGTGCCCACCCCGCCCTGGGCACATGCCTACCTGGGGCTTGTCGGAAGGAAGGTTGGGGTGCACGCTTCTGTAGCCCTTGGCAGCGAGTGAAGAGGGCTGGGCGTTTCCATTGGCATCGGCATTGGAAGAAAGCCGCCAGTCATCTGTGTGGAAAGAAAACAACACCCTCACTTGCAGGGAACGCTCCAGTTCCCTCTAATGGAAGGGTCCGGGGTGGAAGGCAGGGAAGGAAATTCAAGAGACACATACCTGCTGGGGAATTCTCCAACTCCAGCACTGTGTGTGGTGCAGAAAGGATGAAAACAAGAGAAAGGAGGGGCGGGACAGAAATGGTTACATTCGCAGGAAACCAGCATGCGCCCCACAGAAAGGGTAAGCCCAGCGCCCCGCGGCCGGACACAGAATGCCCTCAGTCCCAGCGGCCTAATTACCATAGGAACCCACTCGAAGCCGCGATGTGCTCACAGGCGCTGACCTTTGCAAACACAAGGCCCACATTCACAGCAATGAAGAAACAATTGTTCCTTGACATTCTTATTTTACAGACCGAAAGGCAACAGAACTCCACTGTCCAGTCCCTCCTCACTAACTCTCATCCCCTCCTTCACGCCTGATGTGGGCGCAGAGTGCCCCTCCTCACTGGCAGGGACTAACGGGCAGACCCCGGAGAGGGAGAGGAGATGAGCACTTTCCCCGTGGCTGCTGGTGCTGGGCTCGGGACAACATGATTTCAGCCCAGAGGTATCTGCTGTGCTAAGGGCTTCTTTTCTCCCCGCTGCTTTTCTTCTTTCTGTGAAACGAGCCACACAAACATTTAAAATCTAATCCCCCTTTCTGAGTTTTTCACTGCACTACAAGGCACCCTTGTCTCCCTCCAGCCAGCTACCCCCCTGCCCTCCCAGTCACTGCCCGGTACATCTGAGACCCTAAACCTCTCCTAACGTGACCCACTTAACGCCATGGGGCAATAGGCCCAATGGTCATGAGCTTGGCTGGAAAGGCAGCTGGACCTCAATTCAAATCTTGACTCAATTACCTATGGGCTCTATGTCCCTGGTGATAACTCTCAGTTTCTCCATCTGAAGAATGGAGATAATGACATGCCTGCTCCATAAGTGCTGTTTTAAGAATTAAATTATATAATGCATGAGAAATGCTTAGCCCACGCCTGGTAGAGCTCAGCAAATGTCTACACTTATCATCTTCATCATCTCTTGCCTCTCTTCTCTATCCTCCATCTAGCCCAGTGGTTGGTGAGCTTTTTCTAGAACAGGCCACACAGTAAATGTTTTAGGCTCAGCGGGCCGTACGGTCTCTTCTGTTGCAAAACAAGAGCAGGCATGGATGATATGCATGTGAACCAGTGTGGCCACATTATAATACACCTTTATTTACGGACACAACTTTGAATTTCATGTCATTTCCAAGCGGCATATAATACTGTTTTGATTTTCTTTCAACCGTTTAAAAATAGAAAAATCATTCGTAGTTCACAGGCAGTACAAAAATAGGCACGGCCACATCTGGCCCATGGGTATATTTGCCAACCCCCTGACCTAGCCAATCCCTCAGCTTCCTTCTTCTTCCTGGGCGCCTGCTCTGGTCTGACTCTGTACAGAGAAGAGAGGGAACAACACACCAGTTCTCCCAGCCCAAGGCTCTGTTTCAGTGCGTCCCTCAAGGACTACAGATGGGCTTTCCAGATGTTGTTGAGATTTACACACATTTATTGAATACCTTTCTGCCAGACACTGTCAGTCACTTCTCCTCTTTAGTGCACACAAGTCTTTACTTCATGGACAAGGAAACAAAGGCCACGTGACTTGCCCAAAGTCACACAGCCAGGAGGCGACAAAGCAGTCAGCCTGGGTCTCCAGAATGAAGTATGGCGCCCCGCCTACTATCCGTAGGAGAGTCAGCAGCTCCACACGGGCCACAAAGCGCAGCCTACATTTCAGGGAGGTGGGGAGCCACAGGTGTCAGAGCTGCAGCAGAACCACAGAGGGCACACTGCTGTGCTCTGCCCCCCCCCGAGCCTCTGACTCATGATGGGAAGTTAAGTCCAAATATTTGCATTTTTAACATGTTCCCAAGGGAGGCCAAGCTGATGGTCCATAACTAACACTTTGAGAACCACTGATATAAGGAATACTTAGAAACATCCTTGTTGTAGAAAACCATATTTTTGTTTGCTTATTTTACTACCGCTCCCCCCCCCCCCCCCCCCCCCCCCCCGCCTTCGACCTCCAAATCTGGTCAGAGTTTTTACAGATTTCAGTTGTTTATTCCTTTAGTAGGTTGCCTGTTGCATTTCTGCCCCTCCCTTATGGACAAATCACAGGTATTTTGTCTTCTCTTCTCAGCCACAGAATTGGGAAATTTACAAGACTTGAATTTTACTCACATTATTGCAATGTATTAGCTTGTGTGACCAAGGGCAAGCTGTCAATCACTTGAAACTTCACTCTCATCATCTATAAAGTATAATCCTTACTCCACGTTCCCTTCTGGAGATCTAGAGGTCAGGGATGTGAAGTAGTCTCAACGTGATCATTTTCAACCCTCTCTGCTGAATCCATCCAGAACCCTGGCCATCACACCTAACAGATCCTGAAGCACCAGGTGACACACTGTGACAATGACTCTCCCTACTCCCTGGCACCTGTCGCTTTTACCGCCCTACCCTCCTTCCTACATTATTTCTAGTCTACCTTTGTCAATCATTCTATCAAATTTATTAGATTTACAAATACACTAAAGTACCCATAGGCTCCAAGTGAGGGGCTTTTCCATACAGGATGTGAGCCTTCTACGTGGATTGTGAGAACCTTATTTTGCACCTTCTTTGATTCTCAGTTGGGTTGGTTCTACTCAGGTGACACTGGCAAACAGATTATGTCGTGGAAAACTGAGAAGAGTCTGTGCTACCGAAGGTCCGGGCATCATAAAGGGATTCTCATGTCACACCAGACTGCCAGGTTGGAGGCCTCACTATCTCGCTAACTGCACATCCCTCAGCAAATGACTTAGCCTCATTTGTGAAAGAGATATTAAATACTTCTTTTGAGTCATGAGGATCAAAGGGAAATGTCTGGCATAAAGTATGAGCTCAGTAAACTAGGAATCCAAAGCAAAAGGGGAAAAAAATTACCCAGATATAGAAGTAAATCAGAGTTGCTAACATCTGCCATTTGATAAATAGTGTCAAGAACATACTATTCTTGGGCTCAACCCACTTTTTCTTCTAATTCCAAGTCATTAAAATGGTTGACCTTGCCTGCGGGTTCCAGGATCTCTCTGAGCATCCCTCCCCTCGCTTCCTTTAAAGGACAGCTGTGTTTCTGATGTTTCATCTCCCTTCATCTGTTACCCCGTCTTCTGAACCTTGAAGTTTGGCGGCAGCAGGACCATTATGTGCCCAGGACTGCACGTGAAATCTTATACACATAACCATCAACCACTAACTCCGGTTGGAGGAGACCATCAGAAAGATTCTTTCTATAAATGTCGGGAAGCTGGAGCCCAGGTAGGCTCTGCAGCGAGCCTTCCCACAAGAAGGAAGTAATGTTTATTGCCTCATCTCTTCCTCCATCCATCCTTCACAATCTTTTCTGGCCTGAGACCAGACCACAGCCCCAAGTTTTTTTTTGTTTGTTTGTTTTTTTGTATCTCTCTCTGTGCTAATTTCATTTTGATCTGCTCTACATTGTTTTACTGATCAGTTCTTCTTGGAATCTTAAGATAACTTTCTCTGAGAGAACTGATGCATTCTGGTAGAGTGTCTAATAGATGAGATGTGTTAAAAGTGGCTCTAGGAGTGTCTTGAGCTCGTTATGTTTATTTTTTACTCATGCTATGTGGTAAAGAACTCAACCTTACTCAAAAAGATGTCTGGCTTTGCCCTCTGGCTTCTGGGAGATATTCTCTAACCCCTGGAAGGTCATCCTGACAGGAGTGTCCCTGAGCCACACCAATAATGTGACTCAGGGTATCAGCACAGGGGCAGTGGGAAAGCCTATGTAAGGAAGTCTCAACAAGAACTCTGCACATGCCTGCCAGTGTGGCTCTGTGGTTGAGCGTCAGCCTATGAACCAGGAGGTCACAGTTCCATTCCCTGGGTTGCAGGGTTGATACTCAGTAGGGGGCATGCAGGAGGCAGCCAACCAATGATTCTCTCTCACCACTGATGTTTCTCTCTCTCTCTCCCCCTTCCTCTCTGGAATTAATAAAAATATAATATTTAAAAACCAACAACTCTAGACACATGGCTCAGGGGCACTTCCTGGTTGGAGCATTTGAGCATAGTGTACCCCTCGGGGCCAGGACTGCACGTCCTGACTCCCCAGGAGAGGACAATGAAAACTGTGCTTCTCCTGGTCGATTTTAATCTGAAATAAACCACAGCCATGAGCATAATAACTTTCAATGAGCTCTCTGAGTCCTAGCAAATGACCAACTCTGGGGATGGTGTTGGGAATCCCCTGAACTTGGAGTTGGTGTCAGAGTGAGGGAATTTTCTTTTATGGACTTTCCCACCATCTCTTGGCCCTGATTCTCACACATGTGCTCATAAAAAGGACTCTGTGGTAACAAGGGCAGGAAATGCCTTAAACTGCTTCAATGTTAATTTTCTCATGACACCTTTTTACTCATGCCATTTCTGGAGAGCAAATACGAGGTTCAAACTAGAGGAAATGAGCTGATTGCAGGTCCAAGAATCTTCATGTCCAAAGCTGACTTGTTTCTCAAGAACCAGGCAGGAGTGAAGCCAACTGGCACAGAATGAACAACATGTAAGATTTGACCTGCATTTTGGCTTGTGAGTCAAAAGGCAGAGAGTGATGGTCTTCAGGCTACCCTGGACAGAAAGCGTATCACACCCAGCACCAGTTCAGGCTCCCTGTCTCCTCTTGAGTAAAAATGCCCTGACCTGGGACGTGGTGGGGTCACTCTGAACTACGGGGCCGACAATGAGACTGGCCAGCCACTGGCATCAGGAAGCAGGAATAAGGTAATGCCTTCTGCAGTAACTTTAATGGTTCTGATCCAAAAACCAAGGTCCACAATCTGAGATTAAGGAGGCTGATTGGGAAGCCATGGTCAGGGACCCAGAGTCAAGCTACCACTTGAGAGTAGGAGTCTGGACTGTGGTTTTGAACTGGGCGACTCCAAAGGCTCCATCTGCCCCTGATCCCCAGCATCTCCACCTTCCCATGTTCATCTGATTAGGTGGCTCCCAAATCCATACTTCGACTTCAACTTCCTCCCAGAAGTTCTTTTCTTGCCAAAAAAAATTCAACATGTCTAACGAAGGAATTCAACAGCCCTTCACCTTCCTGAATAAATCCTCCATCTCCACGAGTGGTAGTTATTCTCCTCTCCGCACGAAGCTCCACCCCTCCATGCTCCTTACCCACACTGCACCGAGCCCTGCCCGTTCCCTCTTCCGAATCCACTTACCCTTGGCCGCTGCTCTTCTTCCTGCTGCCACCACGCCAGGCCCAGGCCCTCGTGGCCTCTAACTGAAATTACTGAATGTCTTTGAAGGGCCTCCTGTCTGCAGTAATTAGAATGGTTACATGCCTGGCTCTGTGTTAAGTGTTATGAAAGAGCTCACTGACTCCCAACAACTCTATTACGATCATTCCTATTTTGTAAATGAGAAATTGAAGCTCTCTAAGGCTGAGTGATTTGCCCCTATCACAAAGACGGTAAGTGGCAGAGCTGAGCCTCGGAGAGTTCTATGATTCAAGGACAAGCCCAGGATGAGAGTTGGAACAAGGACTGGAAATAGGGGGTTTCTCTAAAATGTGGGTGTCCAAGGCCCATGTAAGGGAAGAAATCAGATGCAAGTGCTGGGCAGTGTGGGGATTGGAGCTTCCAGACTATGTAGGCCAATGATCACCAACTTGGAGACCTGCAGGAATGGAAGAAGGTGGCAAAGACAGGGAGCAAGGTGGGGAGGGGAGTAGACAGAGCAGCTGGAGGACAGATACTGGCCTAGTGATCAAGGAGGGAGCCGGACACTATCTGGCATTAGTTCTCTGTGAAGACATTGGGAGTAGAAAGCATGCCCAATCCTTGGCAAGAACCACTCATTATCTCACACTTGGTAGGGCTTCCAGTCCAGGTTGAGCATGGCTACCTGCAAATATTGTTAAAGACTGTTTTCATGAGGCAGGTCCAGGCCCAGGGCCCCCCAGGCCTAGGACAGGATGCAGACTGGTGTGGGCCAGCAAATTGTCCAGAGGCCCAGAGCGAGGGAGTAGGCAGGGATGAGAGGAGCACGAAGGAACCAGGATGCTGGCAATGAGCAGCAGAGAACAGGGACAAGACCCCCAGGCCTGAAGGTCCTATCTCTAGAGTCACATCTTTTTAACCTCACCCCCAGTATTAACTCGTTCCAGCCTGTGGTGTATCTTAATCACTACAGGGCTTTCCCCCCATCTACTTAAAGCAAGCGTATTCCTTCCCACCCAAACTGCTCTAGCACACAATACTGAATTTGTCCAGTGAATGGAAATCAGTTTGTGTCAGGTCAGTTTCCAAACTTGTTAGGCCACAGAGCATTTTAGAACTAGAATGGCTTGGAAACCATGTTACCCAGTCCCTCATACTTCAGATGTGCTTAAAATGTGTGGCTTAACCACAGTCAGAAAGTAGGTGGTGGATTAGGGGCCCACACCTGGCTCTCTTAGTACAACAAACTGCCTTCTGTCCTCACCTAATGCACCCAGGATTATTCTTCCTTTTCCTTCCTTTCTCCCTGCTTTTCATCACAATTCCCAGTGACTCGCTTAGAGTCTGACAGAGATGATGCTAAGTGAATGGCTGAATGAATAATTTGGACTCAGTGACCTCAATTTACGAGGATGAAAATAATCCAGTAAGATTAATTTACTGTAAAGTGTGAATGACTGATAGCTATCCACTAATTCTTCAGAGTCTTTGCATTTTAAAACATGATCTTTTATCACCCATGTTAGCTTTTATAAATGTATAAGATATAGAATTATTTGAGGACTGGAGAGAGTTTTCTAAAGTGACTCAAATAACTGCACAGTCCTGTGGTGAAAGCTACTGACAGCGTGGCCCTGGGTAGGTAGCTCAGTTGGTTCAAGTGTCATCCTGGTACACCAAGGTTGAGGGTTTGATTCCCTGTTAAGGTACATATATAAGAATCAACTAATTAATGCATAAATAAGTGGAACAACACGTCGATCCCTCTCTTCCCACTCCCCTACCCTTCTTTCTCTAAAATCAATAAATTAAAAGAGAACATTTGCATTGATAGTGCCATGCTATAGCCACCAGGGGGAGCTCAAGGCTCCTTCTTCCTTTCACCTCTCATTCACCACCAGAGAAAGGGCCAGGTGGTGACAGGTTGTTTTATCGGGCCATTGGGCGGGAGGAAGGTTTTTCTCTTTAACCAGCACTTGGGAGTCTCTCTTCCCCAAACATCCTCCAGCTTGAGAGCTGGATATTCCCAATTAGGCCTGACAAGGTTGTATTAGACTTGTTTTAGGAAGAAATTATTTTGCCTTCACTTCCTGGCCCCACCTTTCCTGGAGATGAGAATGGATGGCAAACAGCAGTGAGGCAAGAGTTAGGCGTAAGTTCAGGAATCTAGGTCCAAGCAGCTACTTTTGAGTTTTAGTGCTAAAAACCACTCATGCTTCCCTTAGTCAAGGGAAAAGCAGTCACACTCCAGCCTGGTCTCGCCCTCGGACATTTGCCTCGGTACCTGCTACAGGTGGCTGGGACAGAAAAAAAGCAGTTTCCAGGATGCTGGGCACTGACCATCCCCATCTTGTCTAATTCCCTTCTATAACCACACACTGCTCCCCACTGTGCCAAAGAGTTTTCACGCCCCCTTCCTTTCCTCTCTGGTCCCAAGGGAGTAGTCGTCACCCCAATTCCTTTTCTCCCTTATTTCCTTCCTTTAAGATACTCCCATCCCCTGTAGCAGTAGCTCTCAAATGTGATCCTCGGACCAGCAGCATCAGCATGACCTGGGAACCTGTCAGAAATGCAGTACCTGAGACTGCATCTCAGCCCTTCGGGTGGGAATCAGGAATTCTAAAGCTCTGACGTGGGCGCAGGAACCTGTGTTTTTATTCAGGTGATTCTGATGCAACGCAAGTGTGAGGACCGCCCGTGGCCCCACCAAGTGGAGAGGACAGTCCTGCCCGATCCTGACAGTGCCTGTGGAACCTCAATGCCAGCGCTTCCCAGCTCCCAGGACCCTTGGGCTATGGAAAGCTCTCTCTAAAGAGGCCAGAATAATCACGTCTTCCCAAGGTTACAGAGCATTTGGAACTAGAATGGCTTGGAAACCATCTGCCCAGGTCCTTCAGGTTTCACATGTGTTCAAAGGTGTGACTTATCCAGGGTATGAAAGCACTACTAGCCGAAACCGGTTTGGCTCAGTGATAGAGCGTCAGCCTGCGGACTGAAAGGTCCTAGGTTCGATTCCGGTCAAGGGCATGTATATTGGTTGCAGGAACATCCCCAGTAGGGGGTGTGCAAGAGGCAGCTGGTCGATGTTTCTCTCTCATCGACGTTTCTAGCTTTCTATCCCTCCCTCCTCCACTCTGTAAAAAATCAATAAAATATCGATATATATTTAATAAATAAATAAAAAAAAAGAAAGCACTACTAAGGCAGTGGATGAGGGGCCCATGTCTGGCTCAACTGTTGCAATAAATGCAGCCCATTCCATGCCACCAGGTGTGGTGCAAAACACCTCCCGCCCTTCATCCTCACAAGGATGCAGCAGGCAGTGCAGGTGAGATTGTCAGCATTGAGAGACTAACCATATCCCCCAAGCTCGCACACCCAACAGGTGGTGAAGGACCGGAACACAGATCTACCAGCTCCCAAAGTCCGAGGTCTAAACCTAGACACCCAGGCTTCCCGAGTGGCGACGTGCATGGGGAGTGGGGCTTCAGACAGGCTTCTTTGTCTCTTTAGCTCCTAGTCTGCACTGGTCTGAGACCTGCTCTTTGGGTCCTGCTCCCTGAGCTACCAGGTCACCGCCCCCCCACCCTCTCCCACAAGCCTGAACCCTGCCCCACCTTTGCTCTCCTGGGAGCCAGGTCAGTCAGCTGCCTGCACTTCTCAGTGCCCTCGGACTTCCTCTCAGCCCCAGCCCTGCCTGGCCAGGCACAGCCAAGCCCTCAGAGACACCTAACCATTAGCCCATCTCTCCACTGCCTCTCTGTCCTCACCAGCGCAGTCAGCAGAGCCCTCAGCCCTGAGACAGGGTGTCTGCCCACCTGTCCAGTCAAAACCAAAAATAAAGTGGTGGCTGCTGCTGTGCCTCTGCCAGAAGCAAGGAAACCCTGTCAGTTCAGGGCATTGATCACCAGGTGTCCCAGGTGGGACAGAAAGCTGACTGACCCAAGGCCCCTGGGAGAATCAGGAAGCAGCTGCTGAATCCGTGGCCCTTTCCACGTGACTTGAATACCTGCCCCTAGTCGCAGGGGTGGCTCACCTGCTTTGCTTTCGTATTGCGGGGTTTCCTGAGGGCTCACAGGGCTACTGCTTGGGGTGTCCCTGTAGGAGGATGAGGCCCGGAGAGTCACGGCTCCCTTCCCAGTGCAGACTTTTGTAGGATCCATGTCTGAAAAGGAAAGACCCAAAAGAGAGGACTGAATGCAAAGCCCCTAAAGGATTAAGCAAGAGCCAGCAATCAACTTGTTACGGCTGGGAGATGAGATGAACCTGCTCACAGCCACGCAGCCTTATGGTCAATGAAAATTAATTTGTGGGTCGTGGAGAGGAATGAACCCCATTTTCAGAGGTTTACCACCCATCATGAGGTTAGGGGGAAATGGAGTAAATGTATGAGTTACAATATCAGCTGAAGACATTTCAAAATAAAAGCGGGTTTCTTTCTTTTATTAAATGAAGTTTAGGTGGTGAGCAGACATCTGACCAATTAGTAAGGTCCAGAGTTTATAAAGATTTCTCAAGTTTCCAGACGATCTGTCTTAGAAAAGGTATAGGCACATCAGGAATTCAGTGGTTTTCTGCAGAGAATCATTCTCTAGTGGGAAAAGGAAAAGGAAATCTGCACCAGCAAGTCAGGACCCTGAAAAGATAAGACGGGATCTGCTGCCTGGGCAGAAAGGCCAGGGGGAGGGGGAGAGCCTCACATTCCAACGTAATGAAGAAAATTCACACCAAAGGCAAGGACCAGGAACACTAAACCCTCCCCTGAACAGTGTGCACGGCACCCAGCTGAGCCGTCACTGGGTCCCCACCTCTCCGCAGCTGACAACAGCCTATTAACAGGCCCGGGTCATCCTTCAGAATCTGAGAAGCATTTCAAAAAAAGGCTTCAAAAGAGCCAGCTGCTCCCCCTCCGGAGAGCCGGCCCGGGAGGCGCGCACGCAGAGCACAGCCCTGGCAGGCACGCATGCTCACGCTTTTCTCTGTGCGGCTGAGCTGAACTGAATTCCACAGCCCAGCTGGGATCGCTGACCTAAAATCGTCAAGCCTGGGATTATGAGGTCAAGTGTAAGGTGGGCAGTGGACAGGATGTGGGCTCGGACGTCCACCTCATCCCCAGGCCTGTGGCAGGCAGAGAGAAGTGAAGACTCTTTTCTGAGGTCAGCCCAGTTCAGAGGGTCCCTGTGCGGCCACATGAATTCTCGGGGAGACTGGAGTTCTAGGGAAGTACTGGGAGCTGGACCCCTCTAGGGAGAGCCTAAGTCCCTGTCCCTCAGACCTGCACAGGGTAAATGCTTAGCCTCTGGGTGACCTTTCTCCTAAAGAGGGCAAGGGCCACAAGGTAGCTGTCAGTTTGTCTCCAGGCTGGCTGGCTCACAGAAACACACACACACACACACACACACACACACACACACACATACACACACATACACACACACAAAGGGAACCAACCGAGGAAGTGAGGAGGAATGGCTCCTAAGCATGCAGGGATTTAGCCTCCAATCTTTGTTAGAAGGAAAGAAGAAACACCATGCATGATCTGCTCACAATTAAAAGAAGACACCAGCCCAAAGAGAGGTACCTGGAGGGAGTACTAGGCCTGGAGAGCTTTTCACTGTCTTCACAGGAATTATTTTAACAGCAGAGATAGAGCGTGCGCGTGAGGGGTCGGTGGTTGCTGCAAACACAAAAGGGTGAATGGTGCCTCCAGGAAGGACATTTGGGAAACACTCAGGCAGTTGAGGAACTCAGCAGGGACAATAGGAGGAAGTCGCCCACATGAAAGGAACACTAGAAAGAGCAGGAGATGCAGTGATGTGAAATAACCTGCTTTCTCTCTTTGGAGCTCTGTGCCAAGACGGCAGAACCCTCCCTCCTACCGGTGCCCGCGTGCAGTTGGTCAGTGTCTCTGTACCTCCTGCCACACCAGGAACTTGCCAAGAGTTAGAGATGCAGATGGCCTGGCAAATAGAGGAAGGGGAGAGAATCAAGGTCCAAAGGCCCCTGAAAGGATCTTGGGGTGTCTGTGCTGGGTTGGGGGAAGGGGCTTCGAGGAGAGCTATGGCTCCGGCCCTAGGTGAGGGGAGGAAGCAAAGGGACCAGCCTGTGAGTTGCCTGGTTCTTTCAGCCATCTCAACGGCTTCCATAGAATCGTACCTTCTGGGGTCCTGAGCCTGCTCTGACAAGTATAGCTCTCTGTCCCCAAGCAAATCAGAACCCCCATCTGTCGGGCAGTAGATGGTTTTGCTTCAGCCCACCCTGTCTCGGGCAAGAGAGGTTGCCAAGTGTCCAAGTGCACGTTCAAGACAAAGGGCAGCACCCAAGTGCGCAGCCCGGGATCTGACCCCGGCTGAGCTTGAAGAGCCGGGATAACTCATGGGGTGCAGCAAGGGCTGCCAATGTGAAGGTACAAACATGTTTTTGCAGCAATCCTGTTTATTCACTGCTCTGTAAGATCAGCGGGGAGATTGGCTGGTGGGAGACTTCTGTTATGTTATCATTTTCAGAGGAAGAAGCCAGAGGCTCAGAGAGCTGCTCAGAGTCACCGGGCTCTCAAGGGAAGAGGCTGAGGCGAGAGCTCTCTGTCCCTGCACTGGGTTCAGGGACCTCCTTGGGCCACCAGGATGACCTGTGTGTTGCATCTGCCTCTTCCTCCCAACCAAAGATGATTTTTACTGAAGAAAGAACAGAAATTACCCCCATCTGCCGCCTCCCCCCACACTCCTGAGCCTCTTCCTTAAGTGAATTCACAGGGATGGTGTTGCTGGCACCACAGGTTTTAAAAGCATTGGAGCCCATCCTCTCCGAGCTCCTCACGGGAGGACAAACCCTCCCCTGGAGCCACTCCACAGACACCGCCCTTAACTTCCCCTGGAGCAACCCCGCCCGACTGTCCAGGGCCCCCCGAGAACACGGCCCCACACCCTGAGTGCAGGAGGGTGGCCAGCAGGGAGGCAAGAACAGGCCGGCAGCAGGACACCTCTTGCCAGAGGAACCGCCCCAAACCATGGCCCGCTCCCCGCCCCTCCGCTCTCTATGCCTTCCCTCTTCAGCTCTTCCTTCTGACTCTGCATTTGGCCTTGAACTCTTGGCTTAGCCAGCCTAAAATTACGAAAGCCAAACTTGTCAAACTCTCTGAAGTTACTTAAAGGCCCAATAATAGGACTTCTGCCCTCCTTCTCTGCTAGCCTAAAATTTAGTGGGTGACACAGAGAGAATCACTGGCACCCAGAATTTGAAGCAGAAATAAATCCTGCAGATCATGCAATGCCTATGTTTTCTAGACACACCCATAAGGACAAAGGACCTCATGAGATGTCATATCTTATCACTGCAACCCTCCCCTCGCTGCAGAAGTACCACAGGAGGCCCTGCTGCCTGGTACTCAGGCAGCCCCATCGAGACATTCAGGATGAGAGATGACAGGGCAAATGGGACCTCAAAGGTCGTCTTATCCATCTCTCATTTCACACTTAAATCTTTCATCCTAAAGTTTTTTAAAACCGAAAATATGAGAGGATGTGCATGAAATGAATGCCACGGAAATAATTTATTCCAGCAACTAAGGCTCTTGCCTCAGGGTCAGGGCTATGGAGGTGAAATGCCGGTGAGAAAATGTTCAGGCTGATAAATGCCATATGCAGGAGGCAGGAGGCACACCTCTGTCTGCTATTTGAAACACCCTGTGAGCAAGGGACAGTTTTTAATAAGTCGCCTCACAGTGGGGAGCAGCAGCCTCAGACTCCTGAGATGCAAGATCAAGCTCACGGTCTCAGAAACTCAGTGTGGGAAACAGGTTTCCAGTGAAGGGCCCGATTGGACCATGGCTATTCTCACTGGGCAGGTGATCCTGCCCCTTCTAGAAATGCTTCCCAGTACCAAGCTGGACCTCCCTTTAAAAGCCTTACCTTTGTCCTGCCCATTGCTGCCTGGTGCCAACCCGTTCACCACGGCTTTAGAAGCGCCAACGTCATATTCTGGAAGAAAGAAAGAAGCATGAGGCTAGTGATAAGGACTCCCCAACATGTGTTGAGTCCTGCCCGATGGGAGGTGCTGGGGATGTGTGGGCTCTCTCAGGCCTGGAGATGGGCCCCATTGGGCATCATGGGAGAATTCTGAGAATCATGTGTTGTCTGGACCAGGAGAGAAGGCAAAAGCTGTTTTCATGCCGCTCTGTCCAGCAGGTTAAAAAAAATGTTTCCCACAGAACAGCTTTCTTCCTAATAACCATTTTTAATAGCGGCGTAATATTCCACCATGTAAATACACAGCATGAACTTAGAGAGACCCCATCTTCATGTGGGTGGTATTTGTTTTCTTGGAATTAAGACAGAAATTCCCAAGAGTGGGGTTATCAGGCCAGAGGACGCTGGCTGTGAAAAGCCTTCTTCTAGCACCACACCCGAGAGGGAGAAGCAGGGAGACCTCCTGCGGGCACTTCCACACCCTCGCCCTCCGGCCCGACCCTCCCTTCCTACTTCCTCTGCCCTTATTTTGCCAGGAGTAGGTAGCAATGCCAGTTTGGGCTAATTTTGACATTAGAAGAACAAAACAATGTTAGGCTGTAGAGCCAACGTTTAAAAAAATGACAACAAAAGCAAAAAAGCGTTACAAACCAGGAGCTGCTGGCAGCACCTGAGTCCCTGGGAGGGAAAAGGTGTGCAGCCTCTTCTGCACAAGAGTACGGAAGGCATCAGGGGCAAGTCCCCCCTCGTAAGGAGGACATTAGAGCTGGGAACCCATGGACAGACCAGCCGAGCCTCCACCTAGTACTTAGGGAGCAATGCCCCCACTTAACCCTCACGCAATCCCAGTGAGCTGGTGCTTTTAGGATGTCTGTTTCATGGAAGAGAATGCAGAGAAGGGTCAATCACAGGCCCAAGGTCACAGAGTGGTACCCGAGGAAGCCAAGGTGTGGCCCTGAGCTAATCCACCCAGAGCCCTCCTCTGTCCTAAGCACACACGTCAGCCAGTTTAGGACCTGGCTAAAAGCACTGTATGTAAATACGTGGAAAGATTTGTTTCTCATCATCAGATTTCTGGAACATGCTGGAAATAATGCAGGATTGGAATACCCTGAATAAGCTAGTCCCTTAGTCATTGCCCTAATCTCCTCAGCCTACAGGTCACGGGAGGATCTAGGCAGGCTCAGTGGCTGAGGCGGGCTCAGTGGCCGAATCAGGCTCAGTGGCTGAGGTGGGCTTAGTGGCCGAGGCGGGTTCAGTGGCCGAGGCTAATAGGCCTTAATCTCCAGATGGAAACTTCTCTGCCTCAAACTCCTGGCTGCACAATGAGCAGGGGCTTGTTCCATTCCCCATCTGCCCTAGCCCTGCTTTCCACCCCTGCTCTAAATTCAATATACTCAAAAAGGGTCATTTGTGTAGGTCTTGATTTTTACTACCAGAGGCATAGCAAAGGGGAGCAAACCGCTCTGTCAGCCTGGATGAAGGAAGGGTTAGATTAGTTTGCATCCAGGGGCAATTGTAGTCCTTTGGTTTAATTTGTGCTGCACTCACTGGGATTAAGAAATGCCACTGAGGTGCATACATGTCAAAATTTATCAAATTGTATACTTAATGCCAATTATACCTCCATAAAGTTGTTAAAAATAGAGAGAAAGGAAGCTATTACAAAGATGAGGACATGTGCATGTAAAGTGTATAGCATAGTTCCTGTCACGTGGTAGAGAATAAATCCTCAACAATGCCTGTGATGATAGTGATGATGACTATTTATGACAAAGCTCTGGCACTTACCCAGGTCTCAAAAAAAAAAAAAATGAAATGTAGCTGGAACCTTCAGAGTAAGTAGGAAATCTGGGGAAACTGCCCAGTTTTGTAGATTTGTCCAGAAGAAAAGGATTTTTAAATGACTTACCAGAGCTCATGGTGGTGACAGGACAAATCTTCTGCAAATGGGGCTCGGCACTGCTCTGCAGAAAAACAAAATCACACAATGAAACCGATAAATGGCAAGTTTGAGATAAGTCCCTGTGGCTCGCATTGAAAAGGAAAAAAACAACACATGCATCCTTGATAAAACAGAGCTGAACAAGGAGTCAACTTGGCCAAGCTACTGGTCTGTTACGTACTAACATGACCGTGGGCATGTCACTCAGCCACCTTGGCCACAGTTTTGTTGCCTGTACTTGATTAATATACTATCCACTCAGCTCTAATCCTATATAATAAAACCCTGATATGCAAATCAACCAAACAGCAGAACTATCAGTCACTATGATGTGCACTGACCACCAGGGGGCAGACTGAAATGCAGGAGCTGCCCCCTGGTGTCAGGGCACTCCCACAGAGGGAGGACCACTCAGCCAGAAGCTGGGCTCATGGTTGGCAAGAGGGCGCAGGCTGGGCTGAGGGACCTCCTCCCCCTCCCCTACCGCTTCCCCTTCCCCCCGGTGCATGAATGCTGTGCATTGGACCTTTAATATTCAAATAAAACCCTAGAGTTACATGAGTGCACATGGGTCATGGAGAGGGTGGAGGAAAGAACCAAGTTTTAGGAGAAAGGTGAAATCACAATATTATTGGAGGTTAATAATAATAACAATAAGAGTAGCAGCATTAAATAAATTTTATAAAGCACAGGGAAATGTTCAAGATGCTTTAATGATATTAATTCACTTGATTCTCACAATGACCCTATAAGGAAAGCACTAACACTGTTAATTCATACACATGAGGAAACTGAGGCGCAGAGAGGTGAACAGAGAGTTGCTACTGGAACCCAGACAGCCTGTCTTGAAAGCCAGGCTCTTAGGCACTGCACTCACCCCTGACACCTAAATGAATAACCCTCAGTTAGTATGATCTCATCACCAGTAATGCCACTAGTTTCTTCTTTCTTAGAACTTCATGTAAATGGTATCATAGTGCATGTAATTTTCTGTACAGCTTCTCTTGCTCAGCATAACACAATTTAGCATTTGGCACAAATATGTGGGCCTATTTCTGGACTTCATTCTTTCCCACTGATCTGTCTTTATCCAATAACTCAGTGTCTTGAGTTAGTTATCCAATAACTTACTATAGCTTTATAGTAGGTGTTAAAATCAGGTAGCATCAGTCTTCTAACTTCGTTGTGTTGTGTTTTTTTTTTCAAAATTGTTTTGGCTTTTCTAGGTCCTTTGCATTTTCATATAAAGTGTAGAATCATCTTTCAAATTTTACCAAAAACAAGAACAAAAAGCCTGGCGGAATTTTTATTGTGATCATGTTGAATCTATAGATTGCATTTTCCGGTTCATGAGAATAGACAATCTCTCCCTTTCTGCAGTCTTTAGTTTCCTCCAGCAGTGTTTTGTGGTGCTCAAAGCACAGGTCTTACACATATTCCCAATAGCCAGGCGTCGCTGAACACATATGCAATCTGTAAAGCACGTCTTCAGGGTACCGTTAAGTGGAACCGTGCTACTGCAGGTGTGGTCCGAACACAGCAGCACTGGCATCAGCTGGGAGCTTATTAAAAACGCAGAAAACTCTGAATCTACACCAACTGAGTTAGAATCTGCATTTTGAAAAGATCCCCAGCTGGTCCCTCTGCCCTTTAGGGTGTGATAAGCAATGATGTAGAGGAAATCAACTCCCAGGCCCGTACATTCTGTAGCAAGAAGGTCAAGGTATGGCCTGAGGCTCCGTACAAGGAGACAAGCTTTAGTTTCCTTTTCAATGTGGACATCTGTTTCCTTTCTAGGTGGCTGCCTTGCTGTCCTTGGAACTGACCGGGCAGAATGCTCAAGTCAACAAGGAAATCACTCCAAGTCCTCTGCAGCCCATATCAGCACGAACTTTGCCTCTGTCATTGTCAACACACCTGAGATGACCCATGACCTTCAGTAGCCCCCTCGGGTCATTCTCTAAGCGGCGGAAACATGTGTCTTCTCAGTCAAGAACACAACCTGTGTTCTGCATGCCCCATGGTTTCCAACCCTGGTTTGATGATACATCAATGTGCTTCCCAGGACCAAAAGGGCTGTGGTAATATTATAGTATCCAAACATTTTCATGCAAAACATTATTTTGGTAATCAACGTTTTATGTTAAGGTTTTATTTATTTTTAAAGCATTATTTAAGAAATGGTATTATTCAATCACAGAGCTATCTTAACAGAAATAACTTCTATTCCTTTACAGTCCTTTTTACCTTCATCTATTATTCACCTAACACTTACATACTTGTAACCATACGTTCTGGGCAGTTTTGTGTTCTAACTTTTAAATTAAATATTTCATGAACATTTCCTGGACTTCTACAGTCATTAAATCCATCGTTCTAGTGGCTGTATCATATTTCATAGTATTAACATGCCATAATTCATTTACCAATTCCCTCTGTATAATTTAGTTTAATTCATCTTAATTTTGTAAATAAGTACATAGCACAACAACATTCTTAGGCAGGGGAGAGATGAATGGAAACATTCTATGAACCAAACACAAAGGCTGCCTAGTCTCACACATAATGAGTGGTAGCCTTTTGCTGTTTTATATTTTTAATATAGATTCTGGCGATTTCTAAGTGTCGACCCCTCTTACTTACAAACTAATCTTAAGTACACACAGTCAGAGCTAATACCCAAAAACTACCCATCACTTTGCCACAATGTCCACCACCACAGCAGATGCCAGCTGAAGCTGTCTTGGGCACCCCTCCCTGTGCCAGGTGCTAACCATGCAGTGGCTGGTTGTAAGAAGCTGGTAGAGAATGGGCCCAGGCTGGTAGGTAGGACACTGTTTTGACATTTTAAGAACTAGTATGACAGTAGGTGTCAATGGTGATGCATAGGTGAGTACACCCAAAGACTTTTGAGGGAGTAGGCTCTGCTGTTGTCACTTGGTGATTGATTAAATCTGCAGCAGGTGACACAAAATCGCAGTGGCCGTTTAAAATAAAAACTGCAGCAAGAATGGCAGTGGCAGCTGTGCCAAGGATGGCAACAGGGGTGGCAACAGCAGTGACACCCTATCCAGACTATTCCAGAGCCTGATTCTGGCTCTGATTCCAGCCAACTCAGCCTCCTTGAATTCCTGCCCTGTTCTGAGTGCCATTCCCCAGCCTCCCATAAACTCAGAACTATCTGAGATTTTGCCAATAAATCCCTTTTCAGTGTGAGGTGACCAGAGGTGGTTTCTGATAGTTTGCAACCCCAAAACCTTGACCAAGAAAGACCTTTATCCCTCTGCAGTAAGACCAGCCAGATCTGAATCCCATGTGGCTCAGCAAATGGTTTTGTCAGCGAAGCTGCATCCGGAAGCTGCACAAATTGAGCCTGGCCAGAAGACGCCAAGAGCTTTTAGAAAGTCACAATCCAGTCCTTGCTGTTTATTTAGACACTAGAGGCTCAATGCATGAAATTCATGAAAGGGCTCGGCCCTCACAACCCTGGCTTTGTCCATAAGGATGTCAGATCTAATTAGCACATTATGCTTTTATTATTATAGATAGTACAAGCTATTACAATCATATGTAGAATGTGAGAGTTTATTTTACATAAAAAATCCATGACACTTAATATTTGTTTTAAAACTAAGCTGTAGACTGTAGAGAGCTGATTTGGTTGTGCACATAATGGTGCCCCTTTGGAACCCATGTGTCCCCTCCAAGGGGCACTTTTGGGTAAAAGCCAAAAAGATGAACAGTGCCAACTAGTGACAAAACCAGACATCTTTTCCCCAGTGGGTTGCAGGAATCTACACAATATCCCAGCTTGGGTGGGCCAGTGAGGGTCCAGTCACCACTCCACTCCTTGGGCCATGGGACCTACCATACTTGGTCAAAGCATCGCAGCATCCACATAAGCATTCCACCAGAAGAACAAGATGTGAAGTAGCCAGACTTGTTAAGAACGCATCTGGATAATTAACAGTTCGGTATGGTCCCTCCCTCATGCCACGACCCTATAATTCTGAGATGACACAGAATGAATAATTACTGAAAAGCAAAAGTTATACTCCCGCTTCCAGCTGAAATAGAATCCAATAACTAAATATGGGTTTTTGTTGGGGAAGGAAAGTAAGTCCTTATATGGGTGGTTCAGGGATATGTGACTAGGGAGGAATTGAGTTTGCCTCTAAGAGTGAGTTCAAGGTCCAGTGAAAGTTTGTGGAAGAGAATGAGCCTTTGGTTGACCTCTCAACACAGCATGCTCCAGCTTCTCCTATGCACTGCGGAATTTTATCTCCATGACCCCTCCCCCCAACACACACACTAACAAAGGACTGTAAGTTACAGGAGTGGAGACCAGACGTCATCCTCAGAAGCAAGGATACAGTGGGTGCTCTATCATGAACTTTGTTCTTGTCTTTATTTAGCCTTCAGAACCTACTTTGGAGTCTTATCTTCAAGATAACCAGACCCTCCTTAACTCCACTGCAGATATTTAAAAGGAAGCTAGCTCCCTGACCGAACTCTGGTTAAACTCTAGCTTTGAAATGCAATCTGGGACTTGATATATTTGTAGCTACTTCCAAAGGCTTGAAAAGCATAGGAACAGCCCACAGAGCCTTGCTGCTTTAAACTTACTGCTTTCAACCACCAGCAAAGCCATGCTTCTCCCGTTTTTCCATAGCTCATCCTCTTCTCAATCTCTATTAATGTCATTTTTCTCCAAGTTTGCTCTCTACGTTATTGGAGAAGGTGCAGAGGCTCCTCAGAAAGCCAGAAAGGATCAAACTCTGCTATGAACACTTCCTTGCATGGGGAGGAAGTTAGGATAAACTCGACCCTGACTTTAACTTCAGTCTGGAATCCCATAGCACAGCTGGGGGCTCAGAACACAACAAGCACAACCTTTCCATGAAGAGATCAATGCTTCTGGAGAGGGAGCTATAGGCAAACACACCAGAGAGGCCACCCCCCATGTCCTCCCATTTTCTCCTGGAGTCCTTCCAACACAGTTTCCGTTCTAACCAATTATCTGAAATGGCCTTCAGAAAGGTTTCCAGCGCGCACACGGCTAAGCCCAACGCATTCCGCACTGATCAGGGCCTCGCTGACCTTTCCACCGAACTGAGAACAGTTAACTCCTTCCTCCTCCCACAAACGCTCTGAGGTCCTGATTTCTGAGTGTCACTGTGGACCGGTTTGCCATGAGCCACAAGTACCTGCCTCTAGGAAGGGGCCTCTGGGGTCTTCCGGGAGTTTAAGAGCCAGAGGGCCCTGAGTTGGTGGTCGTCATTCCTTTCCAAGGACACACTTGCTCCCTGAGGATTGCATCTGGAATATTAGAACCAGAGGATCCATGCAGGCTACCCAGCCCATTTTTAAGGTTTTCCACTCATCTCAGAAGGAGGTTCCATGAGCCTCCACAGGCTACAGTGCCGGGGCCCGCCACCCTCTCCCCACCTTTCACTTCAACCAGGGCAGCTGTCCTTTTACCGATTTCATCCATTTATGCTTCCTGAGTTTTCCTTGGATAAATGGGTTCTGTGGTTATAAAAAAGTTTGTAAGCCAGAAAAATAATCTTCCCTTTGGTATTTAGGTGCAAAAACAAATTCAGAAAAAGTTTCCCTTTGTCTTGCTTTATAGTCCTCCAATCAAACTACTTTCCTATCCCTCTTTTAACTTCCTCGGGGCACCTTTGGCCACCTGGCAACAGAATCTGAATTCCAGATAAGAATCAGCCCTCCACAGCTGATTACTGGACAGTGCCATGTTCCCTTTTGATATTTCCCCATAACTCACCAAACAATGCAAAGTTCTGACGATAAACTACTAGGACCAACCAAGGCCATCACCCATCTCTCCCCACCTTCCCACCTGGTCTCTGCTGCTCCAGTCAGGCCTCATACACAAAACCTACCAGACAGTGAGCACCTTCAGGCAGGACAGAGTGTTGCTTGCTTCTATCCTAACATCTAGTAACGCATCCAGCATGGGGTCAGCACCCAACTAATACTGGTGGAAAGGATATCTGTCCCTCCCATGTATCTGAGTGCACTAATTTCTCCTCTTTCCTTTGCCACCCCCTCTGTCTAAAGTGGATAAGTTGCCTAGTCTTGTCATCTCTTCCATCTTCATGACTCATGTATCCCAGACACCTCTGCTTTTCCATCCGCATGTTCACCATTCTAGTCCATCACCTCATCACCTATCATTACAATAGCCTAACAAGGCTCAGAATCACCCTAAGAGTCCAGTACTCCCAAATTCTATCTTTAGCAGTGGAAGAGGTCCTGAGTCAGATTTCAATGGGGAAAAAACATCTACTGGATTCCTATGAGCTCAGAGGGGTTGGCTCGGTAGTACAGGGCAAAAAGAAGAAAAAGGTGGTGAGACTCCTAGGGGAAAATAATATACCTAAATCACAGATCCAATGATACCATTCAAATAGCATTTCTTAAAAAAAAAAAAAAAAAAAAAAAAAAAAATATATATATATATATATATATATATATATATATATATATATATATATAGGTTTATTAGAGAAAAAGGAAGTGAAAGGGACAGAGACGGAAACACTGATGAGAGAGGAACATCATTGATCAGCTGCCTCCTGCATGCCCCCTACTGGGGATCAAGCCCACAATCCAGGGATGTGGCCTGAATGGGAATCAAACCATCAACCTCTTGGTTTCTGTGTTGACGCTCAACTCCTAAGCCATAACGGCTGGGCTGTGAGCCACACCAGCCAGGCCAAACAACATTTCTTTAGCAGCTACTATGCATCTAGGACAGTGTTTGGCCTAGAGGACTCAGCATGAATCAGGCACAGCTGTTGACTTTGAGGCTATCAGAGTGATAGGGAGACAGACATATTCCACTGAAACATAACACGATGGGTATCCCTTCTGCTAGCAGTCTGACCTAAGTGTTTCAGGGGCACAGAAAGAAAAGAAATGAACTATGCATGGGAAATAGAATCAAGGAATGAATAAACACTAACATTTTTAAACATTCAATGACATGCCTTCTCAAATCACCTCAAATGTCCACTTTGGGAAATACTAGTCTAAAACATCAAGTCCAAACTTTGTAATGTACCAAAAAAACACTGTAAGATGAGGTTCCAATTACTTCCCCAGTCTCATTTCCCCCATATACTCAATAAGCTCTACACTCCATGTGTTCCACATGTGTTATTCCTACTGAGCACTGACAAGGTTTCCCATTTCTGAGTCTTTGATCTCCTTGTTACTTCCTCTAATGCCCCTTCTCTCACCTCCCCAAACTTTAAGGCCAATCCAAGTAGCCAGATCCACTTGCCCCACAATAGTAAAGGTTTTTATTATTTTTTTATTTTTTTTAAAATATATTTTATTGATTTTATACAGAGAGGAATGGAGAGAGATAGAGAGCTAGAAACATCGATGAGAGAGAGTCATCGATCAGCTGCCTCTTGCACACCCCCCACTGGGGATATGCCCACAACCAAGGTACATGCCCTTGACCGGAATCGAACCCGGGACCTTCCAGTCCCCAAGCCGACGCTCTATCCATTGAGCCAAACCGGTCCCGGCTATTTTGATTTAGCTTTGTTTTTAAATCTCCATTAAAATTTACAGTGATAAGAAACTCATTTTAATGAGACCTATTTATAATCACAGGATTCATAAATCCCATGACCAAGTCCCACTAAAATCATCACACTCTCCTCCCAGGTCCATGTGGAGAGGGCTAAACAGTGGTCGCCAACTGTTGGTCCATGGACCACTGGTGGTTCATGAGGTCCGAAAGGTTGGCGACTGCTGGGCTAGAAAGTTAACTACTAATAAATCTGCAGGTATATTTTTACCTTTTATACCTAATGGAGCCTTTAAGTCAGCATAGAAAGTTGATTCTGCCAAGAAAATTGCCAATGCCCTGCTGGTATGGCTCAGTGTCAACCTATGAACCAGGAGGTCATGGTTTGATTCCTGGGCAGGGCACATGCCTGGATGGCAGGCTCGATATCCATGAGGAGTGTGTGGAAGGCAACCGATCAATGATTCTCTCTCATCATTGATGTTTCTATCTCTCCCTTCCTCTCTAAAATCAATAAAAACATATTTAAAAGAAAGTTGCCAACAACCAAATAAGAGCCCAAATTAGCTTCAAGTCTTATGAATGCAGTATTATCTGCATTTCAGACAATTGAGGAGATAGCCTGTAATCATTTATTATTTATATATTAACAGAGGTTTAATGTCCTTATTTTATAGTGTACTCATATTTATTACCAAGAAAAAAATTTAAAAGGCATGAAGAAATCATTCCCAGAAGAAAAAATGCAAGCAACAAACAGATCTATGAGAAATTGTTCACTTAACCTGATTAATTAAAGCAAGCAAACAAAAAGATTCAAATAATGACTAACCATTTTCCCGCTTCTTAAATTAGTCCACAAACTTAAAAACAGTAATACTTAATGTGGACAGATGCAGAGCCGCTGGCCTGTTCCTGTGCAGCAGCCACGGTAAGCTGTTTGCAGCACACTGCATCAGGAGCTGTGCTCCTCTGACCCTTACTGCATTAGGGGCAGAAATAATGGCTATATGGACCACGCAACATGGGAAAAGACTTCTTATCATAAGATTAGGGGGAAATCTTTATTAAAAAATCTTTAAAATCTTAAAAAAAAAAAACTTGCAGGGTGTAGGTCTCTATGACATTTGTGATTATAATTATGTAAGAAACATACATGCATATACTCAAAGGAAATATGTCCAAATTCTAGTAATAAGATGGTAACATGGAATTATTGGTAACTTTATTTCATTCATATTTTCCAAACTGTTGGAACAGACAGGCCCAGAATCAATAATCCCTGAACTTAGGCCCTTTTA